ATATCAAGTCGCAATCGATGTCTCTTCTTCCACTGTCTGTTGCCGGAGGATTTCCCTCCTCGGGCATTGTGACAAGGATCAAATGAGTGAGCAAACATGTGTGTGACTATCGCTGGAACCTTCATTATTCCCAACTCCACCGGCTCTCGAAATCCCACCCGAAACACCCCACGCACAGCCGGAGCGAGTAAACAGTCCATTTCATTAAAATGGATTATTACATCCGTCGTGGTGGCTTTTAAAGAAATTGACGAACACGTGGCTGAGTGTTTGCCGTAGCGCAAAGGGGAGAGATTCAACCGTGGGTGCAGCGCACTGAAACCCCGAAGCGGCAGTGTCGCAATATTGGAAATTCCTCAAATCCGCAGGGATTAATCCAGCAGATTCCTAGCGAAATTAAACTATCCTTCTTGGGGAAAGCCTGAGTAGATGTTTGAACGTTATTTTGCACATTTTTTAGTCTCTGTGTGAGACAGGAATTGTAAAGGGAAGCTGATTACAGAAGAAAAGTTCAATTTTATGCCCGTGAGTTTACTTTGATACAGGAAAACTTATAAATCCAGGTGTTAATATTTCAATCTTCTGTATATTTGGATTCAAAAAGGTGTCTGGGCTAAATTTTCCGGATAACATTCTCTGAAAAGACTGAGATTTTATGCTTTATGTCTATCGTAAATTAAGATTTTCTTGAGATCATGAAACTCATCAGCAAAAGTTGTTCTATTGCCTTAAATTGATGTTCTTTTGAATAACCGTCTTGAAATCTTGATATTTCTGGTTAGTGTCTTGGATAAAAAGATCTCGGAAATCATAGATTTTTGTTTCTCGTCCTTTTACAGATCCTCTTGGACTGCTTTCAATTTCCGTAGGTTTTGTTTTAAAGCCAACACAATTTTAGACACGCAATAAGCTTTCAATTTGCCATTTCATGCCGCTTTTCTTTAAATTGTCTCTCGATAATGTTTACATTATTCCCAATTGCTAGTTATTGCCTTTGACGTTGTCTCGTGCCGGAGAATTCCAGCCGTTCTTCATCTCTTTCGGCACAAGACAAAATGTGCAGTTAATTGCGGACTGAGGAGAAATTCTATAATTAATTGTAATGAGAATGAAGTGTGCTCGGCGTTCCCTTGTATTTTTCCAAAGTGCCTCGAAATTGCCTTGTGATCTCTCTTCTCTGAAAACGATATATTCTTTCGGCTGAAGTGAGTGAGAAAAGTGATCGCATATTGTCAGCACATGTTGCACTTTGATGCAACGCACACGAGACTTCAGCGCCTCCGGGAAAACACTGCGAGGCGTGTGAGAGCGCAGAAAAGGGGGCGGAAGCTTGAGTGGCGCTGAAGAAATGCATATTCGGAGTCTTTCAATTTTTCTGGCATTTTCCCCACATTTTCACACACTCGCGTGCGCGACGAGAACTTTTCACGAGAAAAATCGTGGAAGGATCAATTGTCGAAGGGAGGGCTTGAGTAAAAATAAATTGGAATTTATTTAATGCATGTGTTCGACACGCGTTCAATGCGGAGTTGCTAATTAATCAAATATGCGTTCAATAACGATGAAACGCATGCTGAAGCAATTTTTTCCTCAATCATTCCGGCTATTCTTCACGCGAGAAGGACATTTCCTTGGCCGTGAGTGTTCTCTTGTTTTTCCGCACAGAGCAGAGAGAGAGATCTGATTGCCGTATCGAAGGGGGTGGTTTGTTTAAAATCGCGGGCCGGCCGATCAGACAAGAGTCGCTAAATTGCACCCAAAATCCCCTCGAGGAATTGCCATTCACTATCTCGGTCACGTGTCGCGTGCACGTGCTCATTAAGTCGATTGCTCGCCATGTCTTTCGGGGTACAAATTAATGTATTTCCCATGATGGTAAGCTTTTAATAAAGTCCCTCACTCCGCAGCGCTGCAGCCCCAATTCTTGGGGTCGCGGCGCGCATGACCCAATCAATAAGTTCGCCATTTTGCCCACAATGGCTCCCATCCGAGGGCTGGAACGTCCGCCACGGGGTTTCCCTGGCAACCGAGAGCCACCCTCCACCCCAAAACCGCTCCCTTCGCCGCGATGATGCAGCGAATCTTCGGCATGCAGAATTATGACAAGTGTGTGTCTCAGCAAAATGGATTTCTAATGAAATTATATGAACACAGAGAGTGAGCAATTTGCTCAACCCCGGCCTGAACTCTCGTCTGGCATGTGGCATGTCCTAATTAAATTCTTGCACATCCCATTTGAGAGATTTACCCTCTCCAACGGGGAAAAAATTCAAGGGTTGAAGCTTGCTCACTTATAGTTGATTTTGAGTTGAAATTTATAATCTAAAACCTACTGTTGTGTGATAAAGAATAGCACGAATAGGAAAAAAACACTTTTTGATAGAAAGTAGGGTTTCTTTGATAAAATTTCCCTTTTTGAAACTACCCTTAACGATTTTATGTTTACTCCTTTTTCATCAAGATTCGACATTGAGGCACAGAAATTCGTGAGAAACTTAAATATAATGAGAAAAGTCGCTCTATTGACCAAAATTGATGTCCTGCTTAATATTGGTATTGAAATCTTGATTTTTTGTGGGAAATTTATTTTTTTACAGAATACTCATTTCTTTATATACCTTTAATCATGACATCCCTCTTTAGATGATAGAATTGCGTCAATTTTCATCAGTTTTCTCAATTTCAACGCGTCTAATTCCCTTTTGCGCCACTGTGCAGTTTCCAAAATCTTTCCTAAATGGTCCATTTAGGAGAGACATAACTTTTCACAGCACAAATTCATTTTTCAGACTTTTTCCAGCGGAAGGGCGATTTTCATATGCCGAGCCTTTTGTCTGCACTCCGTGTGTAATCTCGCAATCAAACACATGGCATGAAAAATGCTCATTGAACGCGACCCTGTCGCCATGATTACGGCACAAATGAGAGCACAATGTTGTCCTCTCCCCACCTTCGCGGCATCGCCAGCACGTGTCCCATTGATTTGAGCCTCCGTGTGTTCTAATTGCCGAGCGCAGAGATCTTTGAGTGCCTCTTGTGTTTCTCCTTAATTGGAACTCGGCTTGCATTTCATTGTCCATTTTGGCGTCTTCGCCGGCAAAGGAAGAGGAGGAGGAAAAAAACAACGAGAGCCCGCGGAGAAGAGACCACACAGATTCACAAATTGCTGCTAAATGTATAGAAAAAAAGGGGCATGAATAGAAGAAGGTGATCTGCGGGATCAGAGATCACCCAGAGTCACGGTGTGGAAGAGGAAATTCACAACGAAAAAAGTGCTCCACGACAAATTACCAATCGTGTTAATTAAATGTGGTTCTAGGAAATCGCCGCGACTCTCCGCGTTGGCGCTAAACAATTGACTTTGGATACACCTGAGGAAAATATCGAATGCACGGCACAATGGTTGGAGCTCTTTCACTCCGCCCAAGAAAATTGTCAATTCTTTGGCATTCTCATCAGGTAGAACACTCATTCTGCGCTGCCTTAAGACAAACACACAGTGCGTTTGGTGAGCGCGAAGGAGAGTCTCGTCACGTTTCTGACTCCACCAAATAAAGTCAAGAGTCCGCTTTTGGGTGGAGGAAATTAGACGACAGGCGCCAATTGAATTGACGCGACAAATCCGTCCGTCCGGAGAACTTTCTCAGGCCAACGCATCTTAAGACATGTTGCGAAATTCTCTGGCCATCCTTGCCTAAGATGCGCTGAAAGCAGCTTCTCAGCGCAGATGTTGAGATCCTAAGCGTTTCTGGTGAAACACAGATACACAGAGATATAAGAAAAGGGCTGCAGAGTGAATATCTTGAAATCCTTTCTTCATGGCGAAACACTTCTTCTCCGCTCAATGGCAAATTTCTCCTTCAGGGATTGATGGATATGCTTTGCTGGCAAATTTACCTGCAATTCCTTGCCTTCAAACCAATGCCAAACAATGCCGAAACATATTTTTGTCCAAAATTCGCTCTTTGTTATCGAGGCGGTGAGGAAAATTCCTCACATCCCATTGAGGATTTGTGAACAGTTGCGCTGAGAAAACGGTACAAAGAGAGACGCAATTGACGCTTTCTTTGAGGGCGCGCAAAACAATTTTTTTCCTCCTTGTGTGCGCTTTATGAAAAATCTCGCCGTCAAGGGTTGAACACGTGCATTTCTCCGTTGTTCAACTTTCGCGAAGGAATTTCATTCGCTCTGTGTGTTTTTTCGGGGCATTTGTCGGCCAAGGGTTTTTCCGTTCATGAGCTACGCCAAAGAGCGTCTCTCTTCGCCTCACAATTCAGTCCGGAATTCACACGTGTGCAAGAGTCGCGACAATAAATGGAACCATAAATACTCAGAGGCGAGCATGTGTGAAGGGGAGAGCGAAGAAAGCAAATTTCTCAGCTGAAGAGCGACTCACGGAGAGACTCTGTCTAATTCCATCAGCTGCACATCCACATGGGAGTCTCTTGCGCTGATCCCTCCGCGGTGATTTTCTCCCTTGCAGGACGACAACATGTTTTATCTCTGTGTCTGCTTTCTGGCTCTCCCAAGGCGAGGTGGAAAATATGGCCCAAAATGCAATGCACAGAAGCAGAACGCCGCGTTCTTCTTGTCTTCAATTAACCTTCCACGCTTCACGAGTCTCGTCACACAAGGTAGAAATCACATCCGGAATCTCCTGAGAACTCCTTCACTGAGCAGAAAATGTATTCAGAGTCTCTTTGCCTCCGCACGTGGCTTTTTCCTCTCCACTGATTTCGTCTTCGCGCAAGGCACTGTATATGCTTCACACGCGTTTCATCCTCGCTTCATGCGCCTATGCTGCAGCGCAATTTGGACGCTTCTTCGCTAATTTCTCTCTTTCTCTCGTGAATTCGCCGTTATTCTTCTCCTCCCCTTTTGCCCAATTATCGCCTCTCATTGCTCGCCTTCTGTTCTTAAGCATCCCACTTTCGCGCGGTCAGGAGCAATTCATCTCGTGAGATGATCTTCACCGAGGGACAGAGTAAGCAAAAGATCTCTTTTTTACAGTTTCCAAGTGTATTTTCTTTACTATTCAATTCTCAAATGTGTTAAAAGATATTTTATAATACTTATTGACTTCCTACGTGTAATAAATATTGTATAATCTGCATGTCCTTCAGCATCTGCAGCGAAAGAAAACACCGTGATTAAGCCGTGAAAACACTACGCAAATTACAATAATTGAGTCATTTATCACTCAGTTATCTTGTAGGTATTTGTCATGTATTGAACTCAAAGGTGTCCCAAGAATATCATCACAAAGAACCAACGATATCAATAGCGTCAACGATAAGCAATTCAGTCTCACCTTAATTGGGCATTTTCCTCTCCAGAGAATCCCATCCAGATGTTCACTTGAAACAGAAGAAAGAAAAGATCAAAATCAGCACTTTTTCAAGCACAACAAACAATCTCAAAAAATCAAGCGAAAAATCAGTCAGCCAAGGATAATATCATGTTTTATCTCATAAGTCTAGCATGTTAAAGAGTATCATCATTTAAGGGTCATAATAAAAAAGCTATTTGCCTTGGCAAATCTCTCACCTTCTCTCAGTCTCTCTCTCTAGAATGCATATCGCGTGCGAATGTCTTCCAGCTTCTTCGCCACCTCGCTGGGAATTCTTCCCAGATCCGACGCAATGTTCTTCTGCTTGGCAGGCTCCAGTGATGTGAACTGCTCACAGAGATCACCATCCATGACATTCTTCACTGGATAGTAGTAACTCCTGTAGCTCAAGTGATCTCTGCCGCACAGCGGCGGATTCTCATTCCGCATGTGCATCTCCAGATGCTGGAAGAAGTCGAAGTCCTCGCGACTGGTGAACGACACAAGAGCGCCCACAGTGCCACTCAGTGTGGCGTACAGCAGTGATTCCGAACCCCCGGGAATGAGAGTCGCCTTCTGCAGCGACATCACAACTTCACCCACATGAAAAGTCGACACATTCTCCGCCTTTTGCGACGCTCCACTCAGAAGTCCGCGATCCCACAGCGACTTGTTCCCCGTCGGATCCTCATCCACATCATCTGTGACAGAGTGCGGCAGCCTAAGAATGGACACATTGCCAAACTTGTCCGCCGTGGCAATTGTGTCATAATCCAGCAGAGTCGTGGCCGTGATCCATCGCGGATGAGTGTCATCGGCAAAGATGATCAACTGATTCTCTGCCCGCTTGTACTTGAGGAAGAACACCGACTCCTGCACATCTGACGCATAAATCCGATGACCCATGGTCTGAATGTTCACCACATTGTTGGGAATATGCTTGTTCTCACACTTCCGCAGCAGTTTCTTCTTGCCCAGATCATAAATGCGCAGCACATTACCCACACCGGCCAACAGACGTCCCTGGAAGCTACTCAGCGCTCCGGGAACATCATCAATCTCCGTGCGATGGATGAACTCCAGGGCATTGCACGTAGCGTCCACGCGATAGATGTCAATGTAGCCATTGCTTGAGATTCTGGGATTCAGCTGCAACTCCTTCGTGATTCCCACCGCCAGATAGAACCTGCCATCGCCAGCAGCGTGGAATTTCGTCAGCGCCATCGACATGATGGCCTCATTCTGTGCCAGCGGCACTTTGTGAATCGTGTGCCCATGAATGGGATCCATTATGCGAATCTGCGACGCCCACATTGTCTGTCCGGCTTTTGGCGCTGAGAAGACATCCTCCGGCAGCACTTCATTGATGAACGCATCCGCCATCTCATTGGCCAACTCCTGTTCATCCTCACCAGCCGCTTCGCGCATCTCATCAGCCATCTGCTTCTTCCGCACACTTTTCGTCTCCTCCGAGTACGCATTGTGATCCGTCTCGGATACAATCAGACGCCCAGTGTCCGGATGAATGGCAAAGCGGCGCGGCGTATATTCCAGCGGGAAGTTGATTTGATTGAAGACAGCGCCCAGCTTCTCCAGCGCCAAGATCCTCAGAGTGTTGGTGGAAATGGCAACAATGCCCTCAGAGCACTGCTCACTCGAGAATCCCGAGGCGTATTCCAGTGTCTCATACGAGAGCGGCGTGAGATGGAAGCGATTCTGGTAGTAATAGCTCAACCATGTGCGACTGGACATGGCCAGAACAGCCTCGGATCCTTGCATGCGGATGCGAAACAATTTCACTGGGCGTGATCCCAAATATCGCGTTCTTGTGTCTGCCAAATCACCAGAAACCGGATCCAGGACGGTTCTCAGCAAAACCCCATTGTTCAGCCCAATGTTGAGATAAATCGATCCTGTGGTCGTTGTCACGCCATCCTCTTCGCTCTCCGTCGATCCCATCTCCACCAGACAGAGAGACTCAGCGGCCGACGGCAGTGCTTGCATGGAGCGCGGTGAGAGACAATCTGACGGATCCAGCGAGATGATGCGCACCGTGTTGTCCGCCAGTCCGACTGCCAGGAACCACGAGCGCTGCTCTCCTGCCGGCACTGTTCCCAGAGCCATGCACATCACATCAGACGGCATTTTCTTGCGCTCTGTGTACTCATTCAGTTGACCCGTTGGATCCATCTCGAAGTAGACAAGCTCACCGCCAGACAAAGCAATCACCACTTGTCGCTGATTCACTGCACACTTGACGATCGTCTTCTTTCCTGGCGCCTTCCACTCATTCACTCGCTTGTCCGCCCGAATGTGACGAATGCCATCCGGATAGACCTGAAATTAGCAGTTTTGTTAGCTTCATAGGCAATTTAAGAGCACAAATTAGTGTTTAACTTGAGAAATATGTCAGACGTCAAAGGATAAAATCAAAGTATTTCATATGAAACACGGATTGATATGTATTCATCATTTCAGGAATAATAAAATCTCTAAATATGGCACATAAATTGAGTTCACTCACCTGAACAAGAGCGTCATCGCCTAGTGAAGAGCAACTCAGTGTGGGAGTTGTTCCCAGGAAACCACTGTCTGTCACTTCTTCAACAGTGTCGCCGATACTCAACACAAGAGTGGCATTCACGAACGACACAATAATGTACGCATCGTATTCATCTGAAAAGAATGAGAACAGTGATAAAACTTCACACAAAACCACAAAAACTTTCTCTCTTCTGCTTTAATCAACTGAGAACTTTCTGATTTCATTCCTCCACGGAGTATTTATCCTCTCTCTCACTTCAGCATCTTCTCTCTTACTTACCCTTCGAACGGGCATCACACTTTGGGATTAACTGGCAAATTCATCCCAATATAATTTTTCCCACAATTGGTCTGCAATAGAAAAGAAACTGGTGTTTGAATGATGTCCATTCGCATAATTGTGTCATTTCTCTCTCTCTCAGTCATCATTGTAAAACACCAGTTCCATTAGTATGTGGTTCAACTCAATGACAAATAATCCCCCTAAAATCCACCTTTCCATTCTCATCCGGAGGCAAGATTGAGAATAACACAGAATATTTGCAAGTCTCCGCGTGAGAATCGATGAGGACACAGATTCAACAGCACATTAAAGACTAACCATCAATTCGTTTCTTCACCGTCCACACGGCATTGGGATTGCCGGGCAGTTCTGACACTGCCATCTCAGACACTTCCAATCCATGCCTCAGCACTCGAATGGAAGATCTCGGGCCTCGACCGCACATCAGATACAACTGCGGCGTGTCTTCATTGGCCAAATCTGCAACTTGACAACCTGCAAAGGCACAAAAATCACATTAATAACTACTAAAAGACACTCAAAATTACCAATTTTACCCAGAATTGGAGCGTAAGAAGGCATTTCGTCCACCAGAACGAGATTCTTCAGCGGCCGCGGGGCAAAGAAGAACGTGTCGCCCTCCTCAAGAGGCATTGCCGAACTGAACTCAGGCTCATCATCGTCATCACCAAGATGCGCGATCTGGTAGAGATAGTGATTGCCAAATTCACATGCCACAAACAAGAAGCCCGTTTTCATCACGCACATGGTCGTCGCCGGCGGCACAGTGTCGAAGTACTTGAGCTTGATCTCCGACACCACATCGTCGTCCGTCTCCAGCGTTACCTTGAAGATGTCTCCCTGCTCCGTCTGCACCAGGAAGAAGTACATCGACTTGGTGCGATGCGTGGCCGAACAGATGAAGATCATGCCGCGCTCGGGATCGTCCAGATCGTTGCGCCGACGCGGAATGGGACAGCGAATGTCGTGCTGATCGCCCAGATTCTTGTACGTCAAGTAGTTCTCCGAGCAGATGAGCACTCCGCTCGGGCCATCATTGCCGCCAGGCACGGAAATGAGGAAGTTTGCGTGCTCCTCGAGCGGTTCTGAGTACTTCCGCACAACGTGATTGAGTCCCAAGTCCAGTTCGTAGAATGTGAGCGTTTGTTGCGTCTTCTGCGCCACTTCGCCGGTGGGATCGGAATCTGCCTCTTCATAGTCAATTTCCAGACAGGCGAACATGGGATTCTCATAGCCAACATCCACGCCCACCATGTGATAGCACAGTGTGTTGGACTTGTGCGCCTCCAGAGGCGACGAGATGGTCAATCGCGCCTCGGAGTCTCTGTTGAGGATGTACACGAGCTTCTGCTTCTCAATGGCGCCAATCATAACGGCGCGTCCCTTCGGATCGATGGCAGAATACTGGCCAGGCACAATTCGTCGGCAGCCCGACTTGCCAAATGTCTCCTGATGCACCTTCTCCAGCACATTCTTCGCCGGAATGTACTCCAGAATAACCACACGTCCCGAATCAGAGCCGACAATCGCATAATCTGTGGGAAAAACACAATCATTAGATTCCTCTATTTAGAACATCTTTGAGAATTTGTTCCTTGATCGGTCTAATCAGAGGAGAATTGAAGAGTCTCCTCCAATTGCGACGATCAGAACCTTTGCTCTGGCACAATTATTATGGTCACTTCGGATTAAATATTTTCCCGAAGCAACACAGAGGAATTGTGCGATAAACATTCAACCGCAAAAACTCACCTTTTGTGCCTCCGGTGAGACGGAAGGCGATCAAGGATCTGATCACGCCGAACACTTCAGTCGTGAGCAAAGTGTGAATTTTCCCTGTGTTTGGATCCGGACGCAGCAGTTCCAGGCTTTTGCCACGCGATATAAGGATTTCCTGCACTTTCTGGCCAGAGAAGCTCCCATGGACGGCATGGGTGATCCCCGTGGCCTTCTGCAGCGTCAAATTGTAGAGATACATCTTCTACAGTTCGCCAAGCAATGCGGAAGGGCCTGAAATGGGGGCACAAATGTGAGGTTATGTTCTTTCCGGGTGGGGATTTTTGCACTGTATCTCCTAGTAAACCATGATTGCCGTGAAGAAGTCACTCTATGCAACCAAACGATGAGGAGATGTGAATATTCTGGCACTTGTTTGCGAACAAGGCTTCTTGGGAGGATTTTTGCAGAAGCCTTGGAGATACCTAAAGTGCCTCAAATTGCTGAAAATACCACAAATTCCACAGCTTCTCACCTTTCAGTGTCACCTCTACTCCATCCTCCAGCCGGTGCGAGTGTTTTATCAGCGAAATTATCACTTTTTGCGGGAGAATTCGATTGGAAACGTGCTCCTCACGCAGAGTCAGCCGGAAGAGAGAGAACGATTGGCAACATGGCGGCGCTTGGGTGAATCGCGCCTCCACTCCGACAGCAGCACCTCTGGCGGGATTTTCGCACAGTGTGTCATGGCCAGCTGATGAACTGTCACCGAAAGTGGGGATTTGCGTGCACTCAATTGGGAAATTTACTAATCCGCGGCGAAAGCACGCGAGTAGTTTAGTCCGATTCCTGCATGACAAGTTCTTCAAGTCGCTATTTTCAGTATTATCCAGTGTATAGTTTAAGTGTGTGATCTGTGATTTTGGCGGGCAGTCTTGGGAGGGTTCATCAGTGTCAGAGAAAAGGGTCGCGGTTTGGAACTTTGTAGATCACTTTGATACTCTGCAGATAAGCGATAGGAAGCGAGGCACATAGAGTGGTGGGATTAGGGCATTAGTGGAATCAGTTAAGGTGCAACTGATAAAGTGAGCAGATTAGGGAAGGTGTGCCTAGAGCGCCCGGAGACAGAGAAATCCCTCAAAATCCCTGAAGATGAGCCACTCGAAGGGACTGAAGGATGTCTTCAGCTACAATTCCTGGATTCATGCAGTGTCAGGAGCCTCGGTGAGTGTGCAAAGCGGCATAATTTATGCTTCATTGCCAGACAGTGACCGGCGTCAGTCGGCCTATGCAAATTCATGCTAATTTCGCTAATTCTCAACTTTTTCACATTCCAGGGAGCTCTTGTGGCCATGTCTGCGTTCTACCCGCTGGACACCGTCAGATCCAGGCTACAGTGTGAGTAGAGAATTGGCAATTATTACGACATGCAAAGCGGTCGATAAAGGAAATGATTCACTTGATTGCTTTGCTTCGCAGTGGAAGATCCGGAGAAGCGGAAGAACCAGAGCACTTGGGACGTCCTGCGGCAGCTGGTGACTGAGGAGGGCTTCAGCACACTCTACAGAGGCCTCGTGCCGGTTCTCGAGAGTCTCTGCATTTCGAACTTCGTCTATTTCTACACATTCCACAGCCTGAAGGCGATGCGACAGACCGGAAGGGGTCAGAGTGCCATCAAGGACCTCCTCATGGGCGCCGTAGCGGGAGTGGTGAATGTGCTGAGCACCACGCCGTGCTGGGTGGTCAACACGCGCCTAAAGATGAAGGGCATCAAGGCGTCTGGGGGCGAAGATCGCGCACCGTACACAAATCTCTTCCAAGGATTGTTGTATGTGGCGCAAAAGGAGGGCATTTCTGGACTCTGGGCGGGCACGATTCCCTCACTGGTGCTGGTCATCAATCCCGCTCTGCAATTCATGATGTACGAGGGCCTGAAGCGGCGCCTGGTGAAGATGTACGGTGAATTGCCCGCCTTGGGCTACTTCCTCGCTGGCGCCGTGGCCAAAGCTTTCGCCACGGTGCTGACGTATCCTCTGCAGCTCATCCAGACGAAGATGCGCCACGGCGACCGCAATGCCAATCTGCCGCCCAACGCAGGCACCATCGAGATCCTGCTGTTCCTGCTCAAGAGCCACGGCCCGGCGGGACTGTTCAGGGGTCTTGAGGCGAAACTCCTGCAGACAGTTCTCACGGCGGCGCTCATGTTCGCGACGTACGAGAAAATCGCCAAATACGTGACGATGATCCTCACACGTCAGGTGAAGGCGAAGTAAGGATAACTTCTGTGACTAACTGTGAGGCTTTTTATTTATCACAAAAACTCTATTTATTTGTAAAACAGACGGAAAACCAAAGAAGAACTCTTGTAATACCAGTTTTCCCACGTGGTAATTTCTTATTGTCTGCTTCTTTTGGGCTGGTATATGTGTTATCTTTCCTCTTACCTAAAAAAACAGGTTGATTTAGTTTGGCGCTAAAGGTGAACGCGATTTGCATGAATTTTCCACGATCGAAAGGGTTTATAAATAGCATCCATGACAAATTGTTGCATTTGAGACTCCATCGAATGTGTGATTAAATGGATTGGAAATTAATGTGAGGCTTTTCCTGTGTGAAATTTCACACCCCCGGCGAGAGAGTGGCGCTCTGAAATTGAGTGGAAGAGCGCGCGTGGGTGGATTGCAGCGCGGGGCAGCGGCTGAGGGGTGCGTTTGGGGTGAAAATTCCCTCCATTTCTCTACTCGCCACGCTCAAAATCGATACGGACATGAGCAGAGAGGCGGTTTTCCACTCGCAGTTTTTCACCCAGGGGCACGTCAAGAGGCGGGAAAGTGTACAATCTCACCCTCAAGGAGACGTCGACATCGAGTCCTTCGAGTCGCTGAGTGACGAACCCTCTGGTGGATTGCTTTTTCTGCACAGGAACGCAAGTGAAAAGTGTGTCTGTGAAAGTGTTGCTGCGAATTTGGAGGCTTTTGGCTACTTTTCCATGGGGTTTTCCCAGCTCGCGCTCATCTGCGACACTCCCTGCGCGCGCCCCCCGCGGGCGTCGTAAAGGAGGCGCCCCCGCGGAGAAGTGCATCCCACCGTCACAGTGCACAGCGCGTCGTGACCCATTGGCCTAGAAAGGGAGGATTGATTACAATGCGCTCCGGAGAGCAGGACTGAGAGGGCATGGATTTGTGCGCTGATGGGCGAATGGCGGACTTGTGCCTGCACGGCCCGTGCTGCATCGTGTTCATGGTGCTGGGCGCCATTCAGATCACCTCTGGCATCTACTACTACCTCACCATCCCCGTGTTCAAGCTCATCTTCAACATCGCCATCGGCTGCTCGGTGGTCGTGATCGGGATCTGCGGCGTGATTGTCGTGTGCATCTGCACGTCGTCGACCAGGAAGTACGAGATCCTGCTGTACTGCTCCACGTCCATCATCTTCCTCAACACCGTCAATCTCATTCTGCTGGAGTTCGGCCAGATCCGCGAGGTGTTCCACGAGCCGGACCGACCGGGCCTCCGCGGACACCTAGAGTTCATCCCATCGGATCACGGTCGCCTCATCACGTCCGTCACGGCGATTGTGTCCGTTCTGGTGGCCTTCCTCGAGTCCCAGATCACCTTCTGCTGCCTCAACCGCGTCCATCAGGCGCAGCAGACCATCCTCGCGGCCAGCTATCGCAAGCGACAAGTGGAGCGCGGCTCAGACCAAGAATATGTGCTAGACAAGAAGAAGGACGACGCCGTGGCCGGCAATTCGCACGGCGGGCAAAAGAAGAACAACGGCGACAGCACCAAGATCGAGGTGTACGCACAATCCTGGGTCTTTGATGAGGCTCACGGTGTCGCCACGGGCATGCCGCCCGACTCGCCGGCGTCCATCTCCTCCCCGGACAGCGCCACGAAGCGGCAGCAGCTCAAGACTCACTCCCGCCGCCGCCACAAGCGCACCAAGAGCGGGAGTTCGCAGATGGTCAGCTTCTCGCGTGCCACCACGCCAATCCCCTCGCCCGTTCCGCCCGACCACGAGCGCCCGCCCTTCGGCGGCCACTCGCGCCAGAACAGCGAATTCCTGGCCGTGACGCCGCGCCGCGAGGCGCGCAGCCCCAATCGCCCGCCCAAGATGGGCTTCAATGACTTCGACTCGGTGATGAAGCTCAAGAGCAAGATCGTCAATACCGCCCAGGCGGACGCCTCGTACGCCACGCTCATGGCCGAGCTGGAGCGCTCGCTGAGCGGCAAGCAGGTGCACTCGCCGGCGCACTCCTCGGACGACAGCGTGGCCACACTCACGGACCGCCAGCAGCAGTCCAACTCCTCCAAAGAGGAGTTCAGCCGCGAGCTCGAGGCCGCCCTGCAGCTGATCCAGGACCTCGAGACGCCCTCCGAGTGTCCGCCCACGGCCACCACCTTCGGCCACGGCGAGCTCAACCGCACCGGCAGCGACAAGACGCTGAGCGCCGTCTCACTCACGGACTTCACCTCGCCTGACGCGCCGCCGACCAACTGCTAGGCCGCTCCGCGTTCAGTCACTGGCCCCCCTCACGACTCACCACATCGGGACTCTCTAGCTGAATCTACCTCATCAACCGCATCTCCCCGACTCCTCCTGATCACCCAGTGACTGCCAGGCTCTCATCTCCTCTTCCACACTCGCAGGGAAAATAATTGGTAAGAAAAAGCCGTGAAAAGTAGGGGAAAGCGCGGTTTCATCAACCACTCGTTATTTGGGTTAGTTGGGATCAAAAGAATGTAACGAACATTCCTCTTCGCAGTCTTTCCACAAAGCTTACAAGTGTACAGAGAAATAGAAGAATGAAAAGGAAGCTTTTCATTTATCAGAAGTTTAAGTTTGAATTCAATGGTTCTCAGAATTAAAGTTGTCGTGTAGTTTGCGCACTAATAGAAATGTGTTTAAAACTTGTAGAGTAGAATAACAAGTACAAGAAGTCACGTAAAACTGTTCTGTTACCGCCTCTGCTGCTCATTGCATTCTTTAGGCCAGAAAAGAGAACACTTTAAGACTAGCGTAAGGACGAAAGATCTAAGTATGAACCAAATAAGGTCGTGAAGCAGGTATTAAAGCAGTATTAAGTCTGCTTATAATTACGCGGCAGTTAACTTACAGGAGTAATATATTAACGGAAAATATCATCCCATCGAAAAGAAGCTACAAATTGGAGTTTAGGTAGAAGAATTTGGGGAGGACAATATAGAAAAATCAGGGCGAGGGACAGGGTTATACACTAAGAGAGCATATCTTAAAGAAGATTTTAACAAAAATACCCTTGATTCTATCTCAATGTGAAACTCTATGGAAATTCTAAGCCTTCAAAACAAACATTTCCATACAATGAACGAGGCTTTTTGTGCTCAAACTTTTGAATAAATACAAATGGAAAGTATTTTCTACTGTTGAAAATTAAATTTGGAGCATTTTACGGGACAAATTTGCGTAATTAGGCCTCAAAGTTAATCAAACAGCCCCACTTTCCCCTAAAATAAACATTGCTTTGGGCTTTTTCTCGCCGCTTTGGACATGATTTTGCGATTGCATCACTTTGCTAATTGAATTTCCAGGTAATCATTGCCAATTATTCTCCTCTGCGAACACAGAATTCCCCCTAAGAAATTAAAATTAAAATGTGCGTATTTTAGAGAGCGTTGTAGAGAGAGACGAAATAAGAAAAAAGATGTTAAAAAAAATATCACGAAAAATGAAACGTAACATATTATAGCAAATGCGATGAAAATTTCTGTGGTACGCGATGGAACAGATATGAGAAAATCTATATATAAACATTGTTGAATATTGCTCGTCATTGTTTCAAATTAAACATTCCTTCATCATTAATAGTAATAATATGTAAATGTAAATGTCCGGGATATCGTGTCAATTGCGCTTCAGAAGATATACAATTATTACCTTCTTTCTTTCATTTTTCATTCTCTCGATGTACAACATATTACGGAAAGAAAAACAGAGGGAAAATAATATTCTATATACACGTGTTAGGGTCTCTGTTTTAGGTATAAAAGTAATGATTCCACTCTCTCACTCTCGCATTCTCTTTCTCCATGTGAATGTTTACCCGAGAAAGCCGAAGAGAAGAGATTGTGGAAGACAAAAGAGACGATTAAAGAGTCGAGAAGTCAATAAAGAAAGACATTCTGAGATGAAGATTGTGGCCTTTTCAATGCCTCTTCCCCGCCTCACATTTCATTTAAACTATATTCTCCTCTGCCACACAAGACGCTCTCTTCCTCCTCTTGATTCTCACTCTCTGGATGGTGAAAAGTCTGCTGCAGAAAACTTTAGCAATAAATCGACTTCTTTGCGGTCGCGCAACAACTGCTCTTGATGGATTTCTGTGCGTTTTTTTTCCGCCACACTCGACATTTCGCGGCCAGAGACCTTCGCATTAAAACATCGACTCTCTGTGAATTATTGCGAAATAACCAGGTGAAATTCCACAGTGATTCACACTCTTTCTGATGCTCTTTCTCTGTTTTTTTTTTGGATTCCATTCAACATATATTTACACAGAATATCTCTTCCACAGTTTTGTTTTTAGAAAAACGCTTTTCTCCTCCTGTTCTTATCACTTAATTGGGTTAATTTATCATTCAATTATTACTCATTCTTATGCTATCTTTTCTTCATTAATCTTTTTTGTATGTTTTTTATAGATTTTTTTTCCTTTAAGTTACGGTGTGTGTAAATTGGTTTTTGTTTCATGCGCATGAGAGAAGCCTTTTTGCCATGAATTTAATAATTTTTCTTAAAAGGATTTTTTTTTCTGTGAAAACCTTTGAATCTCATTGCTAGTTTTTGCAACACTTTTTTTTCCTTCATTAAATTTGCTTTGCTTTTAAATACATTATAGTATGATTAATTGAAGGAAATTTAAAAGGTTCTCATTAACCATTTTTTAGCAGAAACTTTGCAATTTTTCTTTAATTAACATTATTATCTCACTTTTTTTGTAGATTTGCCTGAACAGCAGAAACGTGGTTTCTTTGCTGATCATTTTTATTCACACACAGAGAAAAATTATTGGCAATCAAACTATTCGTAAGACAAAGTTTGTTTTTTTTTGAAGATTTTCTTATTGGTTATTCAACGAACTAAGCAAGAACACGCTTTGACCAATTTAACGTCTATCTAAATTTGTAAACCAATTAATTTTTCTCCATGCATTTTATAGTATTTTATTTATAATTTTACAATTAACGCATTTATCTATTTTGTTTTTAGCCTGATTTGGTGAAAAAAATCGGTCGCTCTAGCGAAAAGGTTTGCTCTGTTGCATTTCTTCTATGCTGTTCAGCAAACTGTCTTCTCTTATGTTATTGTTTCTTTTTTTTACAGGTTGTTGTAAATTCGAAAAGTGCTCTTTCAATACAACTCTCGTCATCAAACTCTTGCATTTTACCCATCACACACACAACTCTCTCTCTCTCTCTTCTTCCCAAAATGCGACTATTCATTGATAAAACTGTTCTTCAAAGTGCCTGTTTTTCTCTTTGCTTTCTTAGTAATTGAACTCACTGCAAGTCTTGTGATTAAAAATTCGTGTGTTTCAGCTGATAGAAAGTTCACAACACTTCTCCTCTCTGGCCTTTCTTTCGTCACTATGTGTGTTTGCTCTATTACCAAAAATGTAATTCCTCAAAGCCATCGAAAAAGATTTCATTAAATATTCACTTGCACAATCAAAAGTGGTTTAAAATTACTGTGAGTTTACTAACTTTATGTGGCTTCTCTTACTTCATTTGTCGCCCTTAGCAGGATTTTCCCGCATCACTTCCATGCCCTTCGTCTAAAACGCTCCTCTTGTTAATTAACACTACGGTGGATTTTGTGACGTGATAAAGCATGTTTTTTTATCTCTTTTCTTGTAGCACGTTTTTTTGTTAGGTGTTTTTTTTCTTTCTTTCCTTTTTTGCACGGGGAGAGAGAAAATTAGAAGCAAAACTAAGAGATTACTACCGCGCGCGGGAGAGAGAAAAAGAAACAAAGAAGAATAAAAACCCTTGAAAATCATATTTCTGTGGTGCACATTAACTAATTAACTTAACATTTTGTTTCTTTCCTTCTCTCAACACTAAAAAAAAAACAGGCAAAGTTATGCAATATAATGTGTGTGTTTTTGCTCACTTTTTCGTCGGTGTCCCTCGCTGTGTGAGCCCCTCGAAGCGCTTAAACGTATAATTAATAAATACCCAATCCTTGAGGATCTCACCATCCTGTGGATGCGGTGCAGACGCTGGACGAGGTGGGAAAAAACGGAAATTAGCACGGAAATTAGCCTCGCAACTAAGATTACTCACGAATTTCAAGAGAAACATCCGGGAATTCGTCAAAATTGGATGTGTCATCGATTGAATGCACTTCAACTGGTATTGCAGCCGGCCTCTCGCGGATGTGCTCCCAGTCGACGCCACGGAAGAAGGGCACAGATTTCGTCTCCTCGATGCCACGCTGTGAGCCCATTCTGCCAAAGAAAGCAAACGTCGTTAAGATGCAAATCTTTGCCAATGTCAGCTTTATTGCTCTTGAATCGCAAAGAATGATTTCGTCTCAGAGACGTCGCGACACACTAAAATTTCAATTAAAACGTCTCAGACAGATGACTTTTTGCAATGATGTCACAGACAAATGCTAGTTAAACCCCTAAGACGTGCGAAGGGCACATTTAATGCAGTTTTTCACATTTCATTCGATTGATAAGAAATTGATAATAAATATAAAAATGCGAAGTATTTGATGACTCATTCTTACGTCAGCCTGAATGAAAATTTAGAGGCATTTTAAGCTTTTGCGCTGTTAAATTTGCTAATTAATAATTCAACTTTAATTTGAAAAACACATTTTTTTACCCACAAGTGGGGAAATTAAGTCATCAGTTTGGAATTAAATTGAGAATTCGACTATAATTCTTGATTTAAGTGTCATGAACAGTGATTTAGATGACCTTTCAATGTTCAAAGGATGTGTAATTCCATAATCTTTTGAAAAACTCTCATCTTACAGCTTAATCTATTAAGAAAAGAATGTGTTAAAGTTGTCCAAAGCAAAATTGTCACCGAAGTGAAAGCTGTGATGCGAAATTCCCAACTCCTGAAAGCAATTAATAGCAGTAATTGAAAGTTCTCCGAACACACATTCGCAACAAACACGCACACACACATAATCTCAATTGACGAAAATTAGAAGAAACCCCGAGAGAGATAATTACTGTCTGTGTTGCGTCTTTTGCCATCATTTCGTACAAAAGATGATGCCACTAAGCAAACATTTCGACATCCACTCCAGCTTTATCTACAAGTGCGCCCGAGATTGGAGGTCCGAGGCGATGGCCTCAGAGCGTCCAACTGCGCAGCATGGACTCACCTTCGCTCAGCTTCACAGCAGAAGCGGATTATTGTCTCCTTGGCCTCCTCCGAGATGGGCGTCTCGGGCGGGAAGATGAGCGTCTCGCGCCAGTTCATCACCTTGCGATACGTGTCCTGCGGATTGTCGGAGCAGAAGGGCGGGTAGCCCATCAGCATCTCGTACATGATCACGCCCAGCGACCACCAGTCGCACGCCGGCCCGTAGCCCGTCTGCAGGAAAACCTCGGGCGCAATGTAGTCCGGCGTGCCCACCGTGCTATACGCCAGCGCCCGGCGGTTGCGCTTCCAGCTCTCAGCGCGCCGCTTTGAGTCCATCGGACTGGCGCACGTGCCAATGAAGTCGGACGGCTTGGCCTGCGAGAGATCACGATAGAAGTCCGTGCGATGGGACTTCTTGAGGCCCGTGCACAGGCCAAAGTCCGACAGCTTGAGATGGCCCCGGGCGTCCAGCAGCAAGTTGTCCGGCTTGATGTCGCGATGGATAAAGCCGAGCTTGTGAATTGAGTCAATCGCCAGCGCTGTCTCGGCGATGTAGAACTGCGTGCAGTCCTCCGACAGAGTGTCCTTCTTCATCAGCAACGTCATCATATCCCCGCCCGGCAGGAACTCCATGATGAGGTAGAGATTCACGGGGTCCTGGAAGCTGTAGTACATCTTCACCACCCACTGGTGATCCGCCTCCACCAGCACGTCCCGCTCGGCGCGCACGTGCGCCACCTGCTCCTTCTCCAGCATGTCCGCCTTCCGCAGCACCTTCATCGCGTACACGTGGCCCGTGTCCTTCTTCTGCACCAGCCGCACCTCGCCGAATGCCCCTCGGCCGATCACCTGCAACAAAGGGAATGCTGAGCTGTCACGCGGAAAAGGGAACCGCGCGCTGAGATCTCACCTTGAGGGCGTCGAAATCCTCCACACCCAGCCTGGAGCGCTTCAGCCGCAGGAACTCCGTCTCCTTCTGCGCGTGCTGGATCCTCTTCTCCTGCTTCTGCGTCTCCGTGAGCGTGTCATCCTTGAGCGAGGCCTCCAGCTTCGCCAGGCGCTCCTTCCGCTCACCGTGCTGCGTGATAAGGTTGCTGTAGTAGTTCTCCAGCGTCACCTTCGCCTTGGTCGCCTTGTCCAGCGTGTGATCGCTGAAGCGAATGGAATTCTCAGCTGTCGCCATGTTCATCTTCCCACAGTTCTTTCTCTGTCTCTGAGTGTCAAATCAACCACTTTTTCCGCCTCTCCCCTATCTCACAGGACGACCGCGATTGCCCTCGCAGCCACCTCGCCCGTGCCGTCACGGGAGCTCATCCGCCAAGGCCAGAGGCTCCTCCGGAAGAGGCCTGTCGACTCTCGTCCGCCACACAGAGGATTGGCAGCTGTGCAGATGTGGTGAAACACCTCAAGGCGACCTATTTCCGCGGAAAATTGATCCGCCCAGCTGTGTTACGTGGAAATTCAGTACTTGTACACCGTCCACAGGGCCTCCAATTGACGCTGGCACGGTCACAAAGATAACTTCACGACTTCTCTTTTGTCTCTCGCGGGTCACTTTTCACCTCACAGCGATGAACCCCTTCGCAGGAGCACCTTTGTAGCCATAATTCGCCTCTTCGCCCGCTTCACAATCATCTTTCGCCCACAAATCGGTCCACTTTTCGCACGGCACCGCCCGCTTCAACGCTCGGGCCCACTTTTTCGCGCACCAAAACTCCCCTGGGCTGTGTGGCTCTGGAGAATTTATGTAATTTCTACCTGGGCCACAGCAAAGAAAGCAGACACGGAAGAGCGACTAATTTGACACTGCGCGCTGTGAAGTTGGCTACGAAACTCCTTTCAACATTTTTCGACTTTCGAAATTCGGACAAATCCGTCAGGGCGCTGGAAAAAGGTAAACAAGAGCAGAGAAAGGGGAGAAAAGTGGCCAGAAACAGCATGGAAAGTGTTCTGTACAGGCACAATTCGGGCTCCGAGGGGGAGGATGACTTTCCGGATACGGGGCTGCAGTCGGATTTCACTGCGGAGGCCACAGTGAAGCAAGATGTGGTGGAGAGGAGAGAAAAACACCGCTCAGACTCATTTCTCAGCCCATCGGATTCTGAACCCGGCGAAGAGGATTTCGACTCATCGGACATGGCGCACGCTATCGAGGAGAACCTCCTGCGAGAGCTGCACGACGACAAATCCAGTCTGAGAATCAAGGATGAGCACGAGGCGGGAAATCGGGTGGAAGATGACATCATACTGCCATCGGAAGTCATGCACACCGTGAGCGATCGGGAACAGGAGCAGCGAGAGCGGGATAGGCTGAAAAGGAAGGAGCTGAAGTCGCGAAAAGAGGCGGAGGAAGAAGAGCGAGAGAAAATGCAGTAATTCCTGATAAACTACAACACTTCGATGAGTCTTTAATCACTTCCGGATCTTTTTAGGGTGCTCGTGTCGAACTTCACGGAGGAGCAACTGGACAGATATGAGATGTTCAGGAGATCTGCCTTCCCCAAGGCCGCCGTGAAGCGCCTCATGCAGACTATAACCGGCTGTTCGGTGTCGCAGAACGTTGTGATCGCCATGTCGGGCATCGCTAAGGTGTTTGCCGGAGAAGTTGTGGAGGAAGCACTGGACGTGATGGAGTCTGCTGGTGAGACGGGCGCACTGCAGCCCAAGTACATCCGGGAGGCTGTCAGGAGACTGAGAGCGCGAGGAATAATCCCTTCGGGACGAGCTCACAAGCAATTCTTCCGTCTCAATTGACGCTCAGACTCATACTTCTGCCCCATCAGCCTCTTCGCATGCACAGGACATCGACCTCTAGTTGAATTACATTTGTTCACAAGGGGTTTAATTTAAGATCTAATATATATTTAAGAACTGGAATCACGCGGTTTTTCTGGGTGCAATAGTCTGGACACAGTGCAGTTCAGACACACAGATCTAGCTGAGACGCACGGACGAGGATTTAAGAGCTTCAACTGATTTTCAAGATGATCTCTTGAATGGTGAATTATTCGCTCACGCTAGATAAATTGTCGTGCGGGCGATCGTGAGATGCCACAGCGTCAGAAGGGTGGCGTGCAAGAGTGTCTAATGAGCGAAAGGATGGCCGCTATGTTTACGTTTGATTCGACTTTAAATGTTTACGATATGTAAATATTTACACTGAAGCGTCATTTTCGAATTCTTTTACGATCCTACATTTTAATTTATTGCCCCGTGATCTTTTTTAGCTCACTCACTCACTCTTGCACTCGCACGGATCATGTGCGGATGAGCAGAGGAAGCTGGACATGCAGCGCAAGGATAACGATCGGGCGCTTTATGGCTTTCACATGGAGATCGTCTTCGCGAGGGTGAAAAAAAGTGGTTCATCTCTTCTCTCTTGGCCTTTATCTCACAATATTTTCCCTCCCTCGTCAGAGAGGCTCAGAATTTGATGTTCTCGTAGTACTGCTGATGCGTCGTCAGCGTGCCGTTGGACGCTGTGTGATGCAGAGTGGCGGTTGGGGGTGTCATTGGGGTCGTGTAGCCGCCCTTTCGGTCCATCAGCACGCCGCCGCCGTTCGTCACCGGCGGCATAGCCGGCAGTGGAGGCGGCATTTGCGTCAGCCTAATACCTGCGGGGAAAAGAGACTGCAATTAGCCTCACAGAATAGTTTAATAGCTAATATAATTGTCACTGATATCTTCTCTAACTGCAAAGAATCCACTCAAAACTATAATTCATGCGAGATCACGACATCTCAAGTGGCTGGATGGGTTATAAACCTTCTCTAAACTCCTCGAGAAACACCACAATTAAATCATCTTCACAGTGAAATTGTGGCTCAGAATCACTTCAAGTAGCTGAAAATTGGTGAACGTCGCGATGAAAGATGTAATTTGAGATAAGGCCAAAGTGTTCCCTATCCACTGCGAGATGCCTTCTCGGGGCCCCCAAAAAGGGGCAAAGTGTGAGTGAGACGCAAGTGAGAGAAGCCTCTCGAGATAAAGGACAATCGCATAGCGTGGATTTTACGAGGCATTTTCACTCCATCACTCAGTGTCAGCAATTCCCTAATTGCTCCGCCCGAGTCTCGATCCTCGAGGAAATTTATGGCGGATTAAATGGACGCGATGACATTGTGGATATTGGACCACTCATGATGCGCTCGTAAATCCGAGATCTTATTGCATCAGCGATCATCTAGCCATTAAGGCGCGGCGATCGATGGCACTTACTGTTGTCGATGGCGTAGGGATTTGCGCTGTACGAGTATCCGTACTCGATCACTTGGCTGGGATTCTGGTTGAGCGGCGGCGAGCCGTCCTGCATGGACACGTGCGAAATCTTCTGGTACTGGCTGATGCCGTCCGAAGGATAAGTCCAGCTGTCGCTGAAGGACGGCGGCGCCGTTGGATACTCGTAGGAGAAGGACGAGTAGCAGTTCGGCAGTTCCTGCAAGGATTGATAAACTGTGAGTGAACCTGAAAGGAAGCTTCTTAAGCTCAAACAAGACTCGAATTATCACAGAGCAGATGCTAAGATTTCAATGAATAAGAACACTTTGCATTCATATTGTCGCTTGTTTCATAATTCTAACTGAATAAAGTGATTATTTTAGACGTTTATCAGCCAATTCTTATTATATTTCGACCAAAAACGTATTTCTGCATATAATTTGATTAATTTCATGTTATTGATCGAGCTTCTGATATATGAGACGAAATGGCTTTTTTGATATTTTACTCGTTTATTTTGTTTCGGAGGATTTTTTTTCCTCCTTCGTGGTAGATTTGAGTGTTGAATTGGGCACATTTTAATTCAAATTTAACCCTTAAACCCATCATGAAGGAAGGGAATTCCTCTGAAGCGTGATGAGAAAAGTCCTTAAAACCAATATTTAAATGATTCAATACAATGAAAGTCAATTTTCCACTTGAAAATGCATTTCTAGTCGAAAAATGTTTGAATTGCCGCATTCTTCTCGGTGTCTCAATGGAATAATAAATCATTTTAATACAGGGTTCTAATCAATAAAATCCAAGAACTTCTTTTTCAATCAGAGACGAAATATAAATGCGTAAACAAATTAATAACATTTCTATTGGATAACTAAAGTCAAATTTATCTAATTTATTTAAATCTCCACAAGTTCTAATTTCTTTGGCGAAATCGTGTCAAGAATATCCATTTTTATAACAAATCTCGGTATTATCTTCGCGTTTGATCGAGTTAATTTCACATATTTTCTGATGCTGCTATTTTACTTAATGATTTTCACTATCAGAGCACACTTTGGGTGTAAATTGCTTGTGAGAAATTCTCAAGTCCGTCGTTGCGAAAGACGCGGGCAAAGCCTTCGCCGCTTCCTCAATTTGGACTCACCGCGATCGGAGTGGGTTCATAAGTGGGTGTTGCCGTGTAGAAGTTGCTGGGCTGCGGATACGGCGCCGTGTTCATCTTTTTCCGGTAGCCGCGCGGCCGCCGTCTCTGGCAGCTCTCGTCCTGGAACATGTATTCCGACTTGGCCTCGATGGTCCAGTAGTGGCCCTTGCCCGACTTCCCGATGCCCGCGTTCTTTGGCACCTTCTGGAAGCACTCGTTGAGCGACAAGTTGTGCCGCACGGAGTTCTTCCAGCCGACGTACGAACCCTTGAAGAAGTCGAACCTGGGGAAATCCACATTTGCCCACTTAATTGACTCGCATATTGCCGCGCTCAGCAGATAATCGCCGGAGAGAGGCGATAAGTGATTTCCGCTGAATCTGCACACCAATTCACTCATCAAGGAAACCGATAAATCGCGACACTCAATATCTGCGCGCGGGCATTTTCGGATGGCTGCGAAATCGGATACTCACTTTTGCTGGAGGTACGCGTAAATTCCGCTGAGCGTGAGCATCTTGTCCGGCGAGTCCCTGATCGCCATGGCTATCATGTTGATGTAGCTGAGATTGGGCTTCTCGGGCCGTCGCGTGTTGGTGCTCTTCTTTGTAGTGTCCGGGGCGGCGTTCTCGCTCTGCTGCCCCTTCTTGGCCGGCGCCCCGAAGCTCTGGTCCGCCTGCGGGCCGCTGGAGGACGTCGGCGAGACACTGCTGGTGTCCGGCGCCGGCGGCGGGTGCGCAACAACCTCCATGCCCGCGCTGGTGCAATACTTGATGTTGGGCGTCGTGATGAGGTGGCTGGAGGTGATGGCGGGGCCCAGGGTGGTGATGTGCGGCGGCAGGGACAGCCGTGAGGGCGATTTGCTCTGCGGAGGGTTGCAGAGCACCGACGAGGGGATGCTGGTGATCGCGGGCGCCATTTGGATGGTGGGCGTGTGGCTGGCGATGAGGGGGTTGGTCAGGAGGTGGCGATTAAGGTAGGCCACCGAGGGCTTCTCGTCGATGCCCAGCAAATGGTTGATCATGCTGTCGCCGGCGGTGGAGATCGTCGTCGGTGGCATGATGTGATTCGGGGTGGAGCGCTGGTAGATGTTGGAGCTGCTCGAGTCTACGTTGTCCTCACTCTTTATCATCTTTTCACGTGTGACACGATTTTATCCCTCTGCACAGGATCACGAGATCACTCACTGACTCACACGTCCATTCGGGGTGATTAACTAATTCCGACTGAGATCTGCTCCCGAACGCCACACATGAATACACTCGAGATCGTATTATTGGATACTGATGATGAGGCCAGAAACTCGAGGATGCAAAGGAGAGAAACAGCGCACCACATGCGAACGCCTCTCGTCTCCGTCTCTCGCCAGAGCTGATCATCGCGCAGACTGAAGATGCTGCGAAAGATCGAGAAAAAGAGGGTGAATGAGTCTATCCCGAATCTGCAGCCTCGGCAGCTCTTCCGCGGGCATGTTAGTAAGTGTGGCACCAATTTAGAGACTCCGATGATGATGTAGAAGATATGATGCTGATCGCGCGAAGTGCGAAGGAAGAGGATGTGCCTCAATGCCTTCGAACCCGCGCGCGCGTTTAATCGCAAATTAACTGTGGGCGTTGCCATATGAAAAAATCCACTCTTCATCGGCTGGCTGGGGAAATTGCGTGAAAATTCCCTGTTCGTGTGGAAATATTTAAAAGAAGATAAAACTCCCCGCGATGGCACGTCGCCTCTTGGGCTGAAATACATCCTTTTTATGAGTAATTTATTGCCTTTGGTCAGTTGGAAGATGTTTGCCTCATTTTATGCCAGCGACGAATGGGAAAAGCTCATTTTTTAATGAGCTCTTGTTTTTCCCAAAAAAAAACCCATTGCGTGGAAAATCTCAGACACTTTGATGTTGACTTTTATGATTGCCTCTCTTCGATCTATTTCCATCTTTTGTGCCTCTCCCTCTCCAGAACATCTCCCATATTGTCTTCCAAGAAAAAATCGCATACATGAGAAATGCGCGAAATCGTGGGCAGAAGTTTGAAAAAAATCACGATCTTGTCACTTTTCTGATCAATTTCCCTCGTGGCAAATCAGTGGTGGAAATTTTCTCACCTGTTCCAAATGATTTTTTTGTCTGTATACAAACATCATTCGATCTCAGATAAGATAATAATCAAACAAATTATGTTTACGTGTGCATAGATTTTTGCCTCCGTCCAGCATTTTAAACAAAGACATAACTTAGATTTTTCTTGTGCGTTGATTTAAACAAATATCATCGTCAGGTAAATATTTTCCTCGAGCGCCAGGAATTTCATTCATGAAATTTTTGCAATTCACCAGAGGGAAGATCGGACTGTTTGAGGCCCAGCGGAAAAATCATCGCGTATTATGTGGATTATGTGTTTATGATGATGCTGCGGAGTCGCGCACTATAAACTCACTGGACCCCACAAACAATCAGTGGCACTTTTTCGTGTAAATTGTTTATAAGGAGAGCCATATTAAATATTTATACGCAGTCTCTTAGAGGTCTCTTTACGACAACTAAGTGGTTGTTCGTGCCACAAGTGTCCTTTACGTTTGTAAATATACGTCGGGCCAAAGTTTGAGTTTATAAAGCTCCAATAAAACTCACCAGAGCAGCATCAACTCACTCAATGCCCTCTGCAACACTCCTAAACGCGCTCCCATTGAGAGATTCTCTCGTGAATGAAGGCATGACGATCAAGAGGGTGGTTTGGCTTGTGGAGTGAACAAGAAAAAGGCTGATGAGTGAAAATTGTTGATAATCTTCGTACTTGTTGAATTTCATTTTAATTACTCCGTCGGCATGAATTAAAATTTTCACCAAAGGATGAACAGAGAGCGATACTCAATGGAGAGCACATAATTGTGAATCTCAATAAAATCCCGCTCAAAACATTGTTTGTTATTGTCATGGCACAAAAATTTTAATAAATATTTACACCAGTGCGAAAGAGTCTCAATTTCACACCCATTTCATACTCCTCTAATCCCAGATTGAAGTGGCATCTTTGCCTCCACCGAAGCCACTCATTGATGGCTCAATTACCATCGCTCACATATGCGAGGGTGAAGATCCTCAGGGAATCCACAAGTGGTCTTCCTTGGTCAATCTCTCGCTCTCTCTCTCGCTCACTCACTCGCGACGCCAAACACTTTGGATGTTAGAAAAAAGATCGCCTTGTATACAAGTGAGTGTAAATATTTTAACTTTAGATGAAAATCGTAAACAGAAAACCCAACTTTAATTGTCTAAATATTACCAAATACACTTGTTTAATCATGCAAGTGTGAATTTTAGAAATCACACACTGTAGGTCATGGTTTTGCGTGCAGGAAGACACTTTTTCCGCGCGCATTCATCGTGCGGCAAACAAAATGTCTTCACCATGCACTCGATCTGCCGTGAAATGAGCGCAGAGATCATTGGGGAGTGTCTTCGGCGCGATCCGCCTTCGCATAGACGTCTTTCTTCACGCGCGGAGAGGCGAAGACGGAGGCTCGATAGAGCAGAAGTGACACGCATATGGCGATCGCGCAAAGTGCGCGTCCCTTCGTTGTGAAATGCGATATGGAAAGTGGAAAGGATGCCGATCCCAGACTGATCACAAAGCCTTGCCGATGGTCGGTGCACTTTGTGTGTGTCAGTCTTCGTCACAACACAATTCTCTGCAGATGCACATGTTGTTTTGAGCCGAATGAGTTGCGCATGACATGAGTTAAGGGGTTTAAAAGGCAGGATTACTTACAGTGAAGATTGTGCAGACGAATCATCGCAATCTAGTTCAGCTTTGCAGACTATCAACTATAACTATACTATTAACTATATCTACCGTTAAACTATGACAAAAAAACTTAAATGAGCAACTAGAGCTTAATTATCATTGCTTTTTCTCCTTAATTTATCACCTTAACAGCCTTCCTTATCACTTACAGGATTCCTAAACCTGCCTTCTGAGCTCTGAGCGATATCTTCAGATCATACAAATCCCACATTTCCTATGTTTATCTCAACTGTGTTCTTCACAATTTCTTAGTATAATCAATTTTGGAAAACACACTCAATAAATGCCTCAAAATCGTGCTCTCTTTTTTCACTTTCTTGCCCTCTGAAAATGTTTCAATGACTTCGCTCATAAAAATCATGTCGCTAGGAAAAATTTCCGACTTCACAAAATAGTCATGAATTCCAGGAAAGAATATTCGATTTCACTCAATGCATCCCAAATATATGGAGATTGGTGGTGAAGTTCTTCAATTTAAAACTAACAATTGCAGTCCATAAGATTATTGTTATATAAAAATCTTTTCAGTTGTTTTCCACTTGACAAAATTATTCTAGATCATATAAAAATTTTAATGATATTAAATTAGATATTAATATTATAATATAAACTATTATGCTATGTAAGAAGTTGGAAAACTTGTCTGATTGTTTCTTTCTGGTGTCTTTATTGAGACGATCAAGATTAGAAAATATTATTATAAGTCGTTTTAACATCGCACTTTGACATTCTTTACAACCTTCAAAAACTGCCTCAATGTCTTTGCAATTAAACAATATATTGAAGAATTCTTGAAATTTGTCACGAAAGTTAAAGTCATCGGCAAAGTAAGCTTTCTCTAATTGATCCACAAACTGCGAAACAGGAGCGTTACTCGTGAATAACGTTTTGAAGGTGTTGCATGAAACACTGGAAGAATCATTCCACATTTTCACGGCCATAATTGACAAGAAAATTGCGATTTTAACATCAAAATTCTTTGTGCTGTTCTCAATCAAGTATGTGCAGTGCTTCGTGTGAATTTTTATCATCTGCTCAACAGGAATAACGGTCTCGTCATCCTTGCCATCCAGCCAAAGACACATTCTTCCAGACTTTTTGTAATCTTCGACTATTTTCTCAAAATACGCCTTGAAACTTTCGTCTCTGAATGCGAGTTTGTTGTCCTTGCCAAGAGTGAGAAGTCCACGAGAAATGATTTCTGAGAGATCGCCAGGAATTTGTGATAAATCTAGATTTGAATTCTTCTTTTCGCTCGCTGCGAAATCTACAAGCATGTCATTTACGCGCCTAATATCGTATTCTTTCGTTGAACTCATGATGTTGTTGCTAGAATCCAAGCCGTGTTTGCTATAGAATTCTTGGGTTGCGCGAAAAATCACTTTACCAATCAATATGGTAAATTTGTCTCTATATTTGTCAATTATTTGATTAACATTCAGAGAGTGCAATTTGTGATCACGCACAATAATATCGACTAAAGTCTTCACGTGAAGAGGAGTGGATAAAACACTCCCGAAACCATTGCTGACGAGTTGATTGAAGAACAACAAAATGTCTCCAATATTACTTTGTCTTGACGATCCAGCTAACATTGAATCTGAATATTTTTGTACAAATCTCGTCCACTGTTTTGTATTGAAGCCATCGAGATAAATTTTTGGGAAGTCTCGAAGCTCCATTAATACAGTTTGATAAGTTTCTCGAACCGAAACGCAAATTTGAATATTTAGTGTAGCCAATTTATCAATGTAATTCTTAATTACATTCGCAAAATTTCCGTAAACAAAGTCATCGAACCCGTCGAAGATTAAAAAAATTGGTGGGCGTGTCATGTTCAAATAATAGATAAGGAATTCCACATTCAATGCCACCGTCTTATCGTACGCTAAAAGATGATGAATTAACAAATTTTTTGCTTCTTCTTCAGTGAAATCTGAAGAGGTTTTCGCCCTTTCCCCGAAGATCTTTGATAAAGATTTCATTTCAACAAATTCCACCCACATCTGTTTATGAGCCAATTTGAAATCGTACGTCATTTTCTGCAAAGTTGTGGTTTTTCCAAGCCAAGGATCGCCAGCAATAATACAGTGAGAGTACTTGGAGAAAATTTTACTCTCTTCTTCACTCAATCGCTTCTCGTTCTCGAACAAATGAAACTGTCGCTCAATGTAAGACTCTGGAATGCCTTTTCTCAAATGCAAAAGGATATTTTCACCTAAATTAACTCTTTCTTTGTTGAAGAGCTTCACAAATATCTTCCCCATTAAACGATTGTAATCTTTCCTCGTGTGATTTTCAATATTAATTAAGGCTAATTCGCACATTTGAAGCTTTATGGATTTTTCCAGAAAGCGTTCTTTGGTCTCTTCTGTAACTTCATCGTAAGAAAATGCTCCTAAATCAATAAAATTCTTCGTTCCTTTCTGATGTTGTTCAACTATTTTTACAAATGTGAGATTTTCGTTACACAGAAAATCTTCTATAACAATTTCACTGTCCATGAGGATAACCAACTTCTTCTCGCTGAATTGGAGAGCGATTTTGTGCACAGACTTCAATTTCGAAAAGGGTATCAAAAGTGTTTTTGGCTCATCTTTCACCTTGGCTTGAAATACCTTAATTGCATTGATTTTTGCACTCTCTTTGTCACTCAAATAAATGACACTTTTGGACAGATTCTCCAAAATTTCATCTCTAAACTCCAAATGCAACTCATTCTTTGCATTGATTTCTTCTTGCATTCCCGGCAAATCCACTTCCAGCACAGAATTCATGACAATCCTCTCGAAATCACTTTCTTTAAGCACTTTGCGCTTCTTCACACTCGCATCGAATTCAATAAATTTCATCACTTTGTTCTTGACAATGTCGAAAAATGGTTTTCTATTCTGAACACTAAATTGTTTCCAAGAAATTGCACTGCTGTGGATCTTAAGTTTATTGAAATCCGGACAATTTGTGGCAATAATGAAATTCTTCATGACATAATCAGTGGTTTTTGCAACAACTTCTTTCTCTACACCGATATTTTCAAGAATATCTTCAATATATGGACGACAATTTGATCCAAATTTCAACACTTTCGCACCATTTTGCTCAATATCAGTGAATATTTTATGAATACAATCGTCTTCGTTATCAATAAGATCAATATTTGATGTGTCAAAGTTGCAATTTGTAAAAAGGACAAACTTTTGAATGAAATTCTCATCACATTGCTTCATAATCACAAGTAATTCTTTCAAATATTGCCTCAAATTGAATCTTTTCCACAAATCACCTTGTCTCCTAGTCCCATGATAATCTAACGCAAACAAATGTTCCTTTTTAATTATTCTTCTATCATTAAATATATATTTAGACTGAATCATGACTTGGAAAGTTTTATCAGAACACTCAAATGCACACACGATATCATCGAACTTGGGAATTTCCTTCACTTCGAAGCCAACAGAGAACGTTGAACACTTTGCACCTCGCAAGTTGAAGCAAATGTGGAGAAGTAGAAGATCTTGGTAATTGAGTCCCTTGTTATCTGCACTGGATTTGTAGTTTTTCCTCAGAAGACAACGCATTTCTTGCGTTGTGCAGAATATCACAATGTTTTACGGTGCAAATATCACTCAATAAGTTTCCTCGCCCAAGAGATTAATCAAACTGTGCCGTTTGGCATTATTTCGCAAACATTTTATACTCTCATAATAGTCTTATCTTAAAAAGATAATACATTTCAATACTACGTGAATTGTCAGTTGTACACACTCGCGCTCTCGCTGAGGCGTTAAGAAAGTCTCAACAAGTCTATAAATTTTGATAAGCATTCATATTATTTGTTGCGTTTCTCAGAAGCGAAAGCATTGCTTGTTAAATTGTTTGGTCTGAGACTCGTGCCCTGAAGACTATCAAAAGTCAAAATTGCCAATATTTCAGTAGAGCAGTTTGATGTTTAAGAGTTGATATTGCTTTGATATTGACCTAATTTTTACATACACTCCTCGGTATCTTTCAGTAAATTGATAATATTGCTCTACTCTATTTTCATGCAATATTTCCCAGGTTATTCAACTGTTTTTTCATTTCATTTCATTTATTTCACGGCCTTTACAGTGGTGCTTGTGAGTACATTTTTACATTCGTTTTACATTTGTTGAAATATTAACTAAAATACGGAGAGTTGATAGGCGAGTTGAAAAAATTTAGTGCAATAAGTTGATTTTTGAAAGTCTTCGATTCAACCATCGGTTTTAACTTCTCATTTTGTTATCTGTTATTGTCGAATTAATTAACACAATTAAGTAATTAATTAATTGTCGAATCAATAAACTAATTAAGCACTGATAATTCAAATGCATAATAACGTCTTGAGTGTCATGAAATTGAATCTCTGACCTCGGTTGACGCAACAATTTATGAAATGTGAGATAGTGAATGGAATGACTGGGGATCTTCATAAAGGCGGGCTCGCGCAGAGAGTGGGAATTTTCACGGGATGGAAAAATGTAATGAAGGGAGAGAGAAAAGTGAGACATGTGAAGATCAAACGCTCGGGCACGTTGATTATTTTAGTAATTGATGATGGGGAAGTCATCGTTTCTCTTCTCCACCGACATGTACACAAAAGAGCTCCCAAAAGCCACACGCATGGGACGCGAAGCCGCCCTGCGTCCCGCCGCAGCGACGTCTCGCGCGATCGCATGTTTATATCAAACGGCGAGGGGTGCAGAGAAGGGGCTCGATATGCAGCATGATCACACGATCGCGCGCCTTTTTTCCTCGCGCCCATGGAAAATCTCTCGCGCCGCGCGGGGAAAAGGTCAATGTTTCTGGGCAAACTCACAAGACGCACACGGATCGCATGAGAGCCAAACTTCCTGAAATCGATAGAATTTTCTCCCTTGAGCGTGATATTGCATAGATTATTCCATCGCGCGATGGAGAATTATGATGATTAAACATGGCTCAATAATGACATTCCAAACTGTTCTATAATTACATACGAATTCGCTGGCAGTGGCGCAAAAATGCCAGACATTCACTGTGTGGTGCCAATTTGGCCCACCAATGAAATCAAACTCACTTCAACTTCATCAAATCACTGCATGAATATTTTTTTATTGATCGCAATGTGGGTGTTTTTCCTTCGCGCCGCACGATCAGGTGAAAGATGATTGTCAGATCACTCAAGATCACACGCAATGATCGCCCCACGGTGATTTTATGGCATCTCTCTCTCTCTCTCTCTCTCGGGGTTCGGAAAGCCAAAGGAGTCCGAAGGGAAAAGTGTCTCGATGGTGGAGAGGAAGCAATTTTTCATGCACTCTCTTCAGAAGACTGGAGGCTGAGAATTCCTCCCAATTGCACAAGGAGTGAGAGTGAGAGAAAGAGCTTCGGAGTGTTTCCTATAAATGCGTTAAAATGAATGTGTTGATTGAGACAAACAAGAGATGATTTAACATTTTATCACCATTTCACCTCGCATCGCAGTGCCGTTTTTCATCTCTTGACTATAACCGAATTCAATTATTTATCTTTCTTCGCTACACTTAAAAATATTTCTGACTCACGCTCTGGTATTTATACAATTAGAGACTTAATGAATTTGGCCATTGCAGGGAATTATTATTTGCAAAGTGTCTTCGAGCTGTCAAGACCTCCCTAAGTTTCTCGGGTGGGCATTCATTAGTCCTCAAATTAGTCGAAACACTCGAGGCGAAAGGCGCACGCATAAATCAGGCGAGTCAAGAGGGGCAGATCACTCTCTCTCTTTGGCCAAATATTGTGACAAATTGGCATCACATTTCACGAGAAGAAGGATTCCCAAGGATTGGCGCCATCGAACACTCAGGCCAGCAGTATCAAGTTCAATTGCTCGGGCCACTCTTGAGCCTCGGATTGTTGACTTTGGCAGGAACTACACATGTTCACAGTGTTGTCGAGAGGGTGGTCCTGAACCGCGGAAATTATTTGGCACACATTGGAAGTCTCGGTGTGCGCGCCTCATAAAAAAGAAAAACACCCAAGATCGCGTCTATATCCCCCCCTCCCTACCCCCCGAAAGTCCACTGAAAAACCTTACGAGGCTGGCGTGAAAAATCTCCCGATTCGTGGAGGAACAGTCGTCGAATTGTGTGTGTGTGGAAAAAAAGAGATTTTATGGTGATTTTATTCTCTCTGGCACACAGAAAACACATGTTCACAATCTCTTTTTTATCTCTGCATCTCCATTTACATGTGTAAGGCCAACGAAAACACGCAAGAAAACTCAATCTCAATGGCGATATCTTCCACTAATCGTCAGGCATTGGGAATCTTCAGGGGACTCTTGAAGGGATGGCAAAACACCCTCAGTTTCTACATGACACCGTTATCTTCCCGCATTTGAGAGAATATGAGAAGTCATTGGGAGGCATTTACACGCATCATTTATTCACTTAGCACCTCAAAAAGGCTTCCATTTGACTCAATTAATGAGCTGCTGAGAGACTTTCCTCGATAAATTCACATGCGAGAGAGCAATCTTGAGTCCCAGACGCACCACAGAAATCAGGGCAAATTTCACAAGTCCGCAATTCCACCAAAACTCCGCGTGGCCATTTGGAATTGTACAGTTTTTCCTCTCTTATTGCGATTGAGGAATTTGTCTATATAGAAATTGACCCTTCTTAACTGGATGTTTTCCGGAAGTTTTCTTAACTCTGTGCTGTTTATCTTTCTCTCCCTCTCCCTGACATCGTCGATGGGAGTGTAAAAAAGTGCACAAGTGCACAATAAAGAGACAATGAGTGAGACAGATTGGAGATCTTATCTCAATGTGCCGAATGAGCGTCTCGCACAGACTCTTCGTTTGTTTGTTTTCGCTGCAGACAAATTACAATCTCCCATAGAAGAAACAATAAATAGTGACGATTCTCAGTGCTTGCGTCTTCACCCACCCGAAAATGCTCCACAATTTATTCTTCCACTCACGAGAATTGTCTGCATTTTCTCAAGTGCCTTCCAAAGTGTGTTGGAAAAGTGAGCTTTTTCGCCCAGAGATTTTCAATTGAATTATTATTATGGGTAATTTGTTCACGAGAAGTCGGGCGTTTTTGGCGGTGAACTCTCGAAGAAATACGTTGAGAGGAATTAATGATGAGTCAGCGCAAAGTTCGTTGGAAGAGTCAAGTTTAAAATCTAATTTTGCCTGCTTCACGGCGTTTCAAAGTTGTCTTTTCAGCATTTTCAGCAACTCATCGACTTCAGACGAAAAATGGACAGACAAAAAACATACTTTTATATCCTTGAATACTTTTTATTTTGTTCATCAAGTATTGCATTCATAACATTTTATAAAAAAAAGATCGATTAAATTAAATTCACCATCATAATACACTATTTCTTTTTTATACTGTATGTTTTTTTTCTCCTTCTCTTTCTCTCCATCATGTAATTTCTACCATCTAAAAGAATATATATATATATTTTCTTTAATTATTATCGTCAAAATACTAAATTATCAATAAAAAAAACTGACTAAATTTTTTATTTACCGTATAAATTAGAGTATAATAAAAAATTCAATTAGGAAAATGCGGTAAATTACATTTTCAGAGAAAAGAATAAAATTTCCATTAATTCCTTCGAACGTTAGCTCAAAATTGTTAGCAATGTAGCGACTTTTTTCCCATGCAATTTTCTCTGCTCATTGCGCGATTTCACTCTTCGTCACACTTTGTCTAATGACGTAAATTGTACGAAACAGCCATGATTTTTTTCTGCTTTTCTCAGTATAAAACACGATCTCAATTCTAAATTGAATTGGGCGTTAAAATTTTATGTATTTTTTGTTGTTTTTTTTTCAAATGGATTTTCACACTGTGCAAAAGTTATACTTTTTCATCTTTTTTTTTTACTTGTAATATTTAGAAAATGCTTCCTCGTCCGTTTATTACTTATGTAGGGTTTTTTGTTGCTATTTTCACGCTTTTTTTTTATAGGACTACGTTTTGTTGTTTTCTTGCTACATCAAAAAACTGTACTTCTCTCTCATTAACTATTATAGATTTTTGAATGTTTTTTTTTCTCCTTCATTTTCTTCCTGCTTCTTTCATACGAAGGAATATTATAGTTTCTTCTATGCATTTTTTGCTTTCTTCTCCTCGCGTTTTTTTTCTCCTATTTAATTGTTCATCGCGGCAGTTTAAATGAAATACTTTGAGCAATATTTCTACAGAAAAATTACTTCACATTTTTTTCTTCTTTTGATCTTAAAAATTTCCACTCTTATCTTCTATATTTCTATTTCCTCGTCAACATTGAATTTTCTTTTTGTTGAGGCTGTCTTTAAAATATTAATGCGTGTGTGTGTATGTGTGTTTCACGATCAATTTGACGCTGATCCGCCAAAAGTTTATGCGCACCTGTTTGAAGAGAAAAAGAAATAGAGAAAAAAGAGCATTTAATTGAGGATAATTCTCTGTCCTCTCGCACAAAATCACTCTCTCTCTCTCTCTCTCTCGCACAAATGAATGCTAAGAAAATTGAATTAATTAAACAAAAACACTATGGCAAATGAATTCTCTCTTTCTCGCTATTCGTGATGATGAGAATGATTTTAGAGAAATGATGCTAATTTGAGGCGGAATTGTGAATTTTTTTTTCTGTCTATAATTTTTGTCAATGCAAAATAAATAGTCTATAAAATTTTCCAAAATAAATCACAATGATCGATTATATTTACGATACTTTCTGACTTTTCTCTTGGCAAAATGAATGAATTGCTGTCTCGCGTCTACAATGATTTTCCCTCTACGATTTTAGGGATCTTTTCTCTATTTTCATTTTATTAACTCTGTTATATCCTTAATTTTATTATACTGTATTTGTTTAAAAGTACGAATTTGCTGTATTGTTTTTCACACCACTCCACGTTATTATGTACAGAAAATGTTGAGGGCGGAAGGGAGATAAATGCATTGCTAAATTTCACTCCTCGAATTTACTCATTTTATAACATTATATTTTTTTTTGAGTAGAAAAAGAGTTGAACTATCATTTACTTTTCTCAATTACTGCTTCTCATTCAGCCAACATATTACCCATAAATTCACTGCGGAAACGATTGTTTTCTCATGATTTGCTTATCTGTTTTTTTTGTGTGTGTGAAAAAATTTCTCACTGAATCTCTTCCCTGATTTTCTTAACCACTTTTTTTCTTATTATTTTGTTGTGTCTGCAAAATTTGTACACCAAATTTCGTGCTATAGCAACTTTTTCTCACTCTTTCTCTCACAAAAAAGGTATTTTCAACTACGTTAATTCCTGTTTTTTAATTCTTTCTTTTGCTTTTCTCTTTCTCAAAGAAATACCAAGCAATTTTTGCTCTTCAGGACTTTGTTGTCTGGCTTGAGAAGTGATATCTAATGTCAAAAAACAAATCAACATATACACAGCGTCTTTCCATCTTCGGATTACTATAAAAACTGTACTTCAAAGGGTTAAACATGTTTCCTTCACTAGTAATGCAAAATTGTATATACTGTTAATATGTATAATTACTATAAAATGCTGATTAAAAGTGATTATTGTATTGATTGTTTTTTTTTACAGTGACATCCAATTTTCATTGAAAAATGCATTATAAAAATTCTAGTATTTACGCTTTTTCAGTTTCTCAAATACTTCCTACTTTACTTTAATCTCACTTAATGTGTGTGTGTGTGTTTTAAACCTCTGCAGAGTGCATTTGTCTTAAGAGATTGAAGATAAATTCCACATTTTACTCTTTGTTATCTAATAATATTCATAACACTGAAGTCTAAAACTGAGCTAAAAATTCAATGATTGTGTTTCTCTCGTGTGTTGTTTTTTTTCGTGAAGAAATGTTATTTAATGATATGAGAATATAATGCAATTGAGTTTCTTCCTCTTAAATTATACGGTTAAAAATTATGTATAGAGCAAATAAAAGAATTGATTTTAGGGTGTGGGGAAGAAGGGAAATGATGAAGAGATCCAACCAAGAGTGATTGAATTAAGAAATGAATAAAGAAGATTTCTACCAGTTTGCCATTCCCGGTTTGTTCAGTGTCATAAAGTAAATTTGACACGACGAAGCACCTTTGGCACTACTAAAGAACACCTTGTCGTTCCTTTCGCAAAGGAACTTGAGACGTTGAGCTTTCTTGTGCATAAAAACACCGTCCAAGTGTCCACTCTCGACAGATCGAATCTATAAAGACAAAAATCACAGATGGAAAATTGTCAGAGAATGAAGAGGGAAAAATTCCATAGATCAGAGAATAACTCACTTCAATTGCTTTGTTGCCCCAGCCCATGATTTGTCCTGTCCCAATGTAAGCCACAGACGTTGGCATTTCGCCCCACTACAAGAATATAAGAGAGTGCGTTGAGAAATCATGAGAATGTCAGCGGGATTCCGTGAATGCGGAACTCACTTGTAAGACGATGTTCTTCGACACCTTCCCAATGGTATTCACGTACACGCCTTCATTGTCATAGCACAGAAGGAGCTGCATTCCATTCGAGTTGGGCAGTGTGACAATGCAGTGTGGAATTATTGGACCCTGAGTCTGCAAAGAGAACGTTGTATTATTCGGCAGGTGAATAGAGTACAATGCAAAGTCAAAATTGGCATTCTTCACAACAAGACGATGAAAATTCAATTAATATCGCTTCGAAATTAGCCAAATTCACCCCAAAATAGATAATAGATTGAATAAAATATTGAGAGTTTACAGACAAACTTAAAATATCAAGTGCCGAAAGTCGATTTTTCGCAAGGTTTTGTGTGCTTTTTTCCGAACAGTTTGCAAGAATAAACTTTTCCCATGCAACATGTTGCATTTGACTCAATATAGTTCACAATTTGTCGTTCAATGTTATCTAATATTGACTTTTAATACCGACAAAATGTGTGAGAAAACTGTCAATAAAGTCTACTTTTTATACTCATAAAAATTTTCTGCACAAGATTATTTCAGTCAACTCTCATATTTCAGAGCGCAGAGGTTGAAAAATCGTAGAATTTCTTACATGTTTGGGAAGATAAATGTCATAGACTGATGCGGAATCCAAATCAACGGCATGGAAGCCCTCAGCAGATCCATATATCACTTTGAGACGCGATGACTCCTCAATCGTTAAGTCCACAAGTAATGGTCGATGGTGGAGTTCTCCAAAACTCTGCGCATACATTGTTAAGGTGAAAAAAGAAACAGTGTCAATTGAGAATCACCCAAGAAAAAATCACAATAAACTCACCTTAAATGCCATGAATTTGTGATAGGGTTTCGGAGCCCATGCATAAATTTCTATCGAGTCTTTCAATGCAATCACTAAGAACTTGATTCGTTCATATTTAACGATTTTGAAATGAACAGCACCTTGTAAATCACCAACATTGATCCAGCCGTTGCGCCTCTCCACTTGCTGCAAAGTCATAAAAGACAGTAGAAAGTCAATAAATAACCTCAGAACGCAAGGAATATCACACAAGTCTTACATCTGAAAGACCGTCAGTGCGGAGAATCTTGGATTTGAGCCATGACAGATAGTAGACTCGAACGCGGTTCTTCTTTCCCGAAATGGTCACAAGAATGTTCTGTCCTTCCAGCACTTCCATTTGCTGGAAGCGACGTCGCGAGATGAGTTGATAAACCTACACATGAGATAATTATTAACGATGTTCTCTTCTATCGATTCTCTCTCTCCCTCACCTTCCCCTGTCCAGATCTGTCCAGCAACATCAATCCATTCTCCGAGCCGATGAGCAGATTCACACCCCAGAGAGCGGCACAGAGAATCTCCGAGTTGAAGCGCTTCTTGTACTTCCTGATCTCGGGCGTGTCGCTGGCGGCATCGTGCGATGTCGGCGTCACATTCACATTCACGTGACTCTCGCGCCGTGACGGTCCAGATCCGCCGGCGCCGAAGCCGAACGTGAGGAAGCTGCGCTGCTTCTGTTCCAACGCAATGGCATGCGGCGGCAGAGAGGGTGGTGAGAGATTATTTGACGAATTACTATTGCTCACGCCGCCCTGATGGTGGTTCCGCACCATCGACTGGCTGGGGCTGTGCTGCAGCCCCTGGCCATGCACGTGGGCGGAGGAATTGGACACAGTGGATTGCGGAGAGGAATTCGTGGCGATAAAGGACTTAGAGGGTGTGGAATGAATTGAGCTCACGGCCGCGCGATACTGCAAAGAGACAATCAAACAAACACACACAACATATTAGTGATGAACGGCTTGTGGTGAATTCATCAGCAAATATTTCTGACCCACATTATTATAAATGTCATTTGTGAAAGGGAGAAGTGTATTTTAATGAGAAAAGGGCATCACAATTACCGATTTACTACCCTTTTGCCATCACTTCTCCCAATTTGTTAATACAGAAAGTAATAAATTACATGCTTCCTGCTTAGAAAGTCTAAACAAATTCAGCATTGATATTCTACTATTCACCTGTTTAACAATGGGTTAATTTGCAAATTTTTCTCAAATTACACATAATTCACTTGATTGAATTTCCTTAAAACGTGTGAATAGAAGAATGTCGATGTTATAAATTTTGAACTTAAAGAATAACTGAAAAGAATAAATATTTTTAGAGTCAAATGCAATTAATTTTAGCGTCATTTCACGACTGGTAGTAGTAAATAAACCAAAATACGATTAGTCTTTCCAACAATGGTTAAATTACAATTAAACTCAATACAATTCCACCTAATATTAATCACTAACTCATGCCTAGATAGTTGGTTAATCACATTTAGACATCAAATAGGAAAGAAAATGTTTTTAGTGCCTTAAAATAATATTGAGAAAATGGCCATAAATGGATTATTTCTGCCTCATTGAAAGAAATTCCGTCTAAAAACAGTCAACTAAAATCATTTTTACAACATTACTTTCTGTTGGTTTTAGAGAAAATTAAGAGGTTTTTGTTTTTTGGTAAGAACAGTGGATGAAAGTAAATCTTCCGAACAAATTATACAGTGTTTGCTGAATTAATGTCAATGAAATCCAAATAATTGATAAATTGAATTAGTTTGTTTTATAAAGAAAAAAATATATATTGTAAATGTATAAGGAATATTAACAGAGAAAATAAAAGGTGATTCTTGCTTTCTTCTGTGTCACAATTAAGAACAAAACATTATGATGATGCTGAAGGAAATACTTACACAATGCTTTATAAAATTTTAAGGACTAATACGTTGGTGTACTTTTTATATGAAGGCAGCCATCCGAGCTCATTCGATTTCCCAGGAAAGACAAAATAACAATACAAATTACAGATTATATCTCTTCTTTGGTAATTTAAACAAAAAGTACTAACTATTGGCATTTGCATCTCTCACTAATATAAGTAAATATCATTGTAATAATAATAATAATGAAAAAAATACTGACAAATAGCAAGATTAAATACAATTTTCTCACTTTGACCTACTTTCAGAGCAACAAAACTCTCTTCTGCCCGCGCCAATTTATCGATTCCCCGCTCTTTTCGTGAATTAACATCTTGCAAAAGGAGTTGGACAAAGTTTCACTAACTCAATTTGTACTGCAGAATTCTCAACCGAAACTTCGTAATTTTAGTGAAATGCATGGAAAATTATGTTCTTCTTTTTTTTAGTAAACTAAAATGCGATAATACAAATAAAACAGCCACAAAACTATAGCAAACAGTAAGTTTTAATGAATTATTTCAACACAAAAACAAACCAAAACTCCTTGTGGAAATTGTTAATTCACACTCTGACGCAAATATTCGTTAGTCACAAATGTTTCTTTGGCACACAATTTTTTATTTCTGGTTTTCGTCATGGCGCAAAAACAGCCACATTGTCACAAAAAAAAATATAATCAATATTATATTAGCCTCTTTAGTAAGTCCCAAAAGGTAGAATTTATCGCAAAATAAAATCTATTTCGAATTCAATTTCAAAGGAAAAACCTTGTAAATGAACAAATTTAAAGGAAAATCTCCTTGCAAAACAGCAGTTAAGAGAATCTAATTGTAAAATGTAGCGTGAAATAACAGTGAGGAGTAAATCTTACCTCTTCACTCGATGATTTATCGTGGCGCGGCGGCGTTGCTGGCGACGCTTGGCTCAGCAGATCCGGCAAGACGCTGCTCGTGCGAGTGCCAGGTGTTCCTAGACCACTACTCTCACCTCCGCGGTTCTGAAGTGTTTGAACAACATCGTGAGGGGAAGAGAGAAAAGGCCGTATTAGCATAATCCACAACATCTCAAGCACAATCTCAAGGTTCTCTTTCTCATTCTCTCGCGATGATTAAAAACCAGAAAGCCAGAAAAATCTATTATTACACTTCGCATTATTACAAAATTCGATTGCTTATTTTTTAATCAATTTCGAAAGCAGATGCATTTATTAATTTATATACTTTTTTGGTTAAGTGATTGATGACTTTTGACAACAAGAAAAAAAATCACGCGTTTATCCAAAGAGGTAAATTTCATCTCTCTGTCGTTATCACAAATAATTTTGACATCGTTTTCGTTTTTTTTTTATACAAATGGTGAAGGTTCTATTAATGTGGGGTGGGGGAAAAGGGAACACTTTTTTTTCTCTTTCTCATGCCAATTCTCAAGGTGTGTGATAAAATCTACCCATTTTAGAGGCACACATTTACGTACATCACACCAAAGAAGGTGACAACAATTTACATCTCGCACTACAATCTCTCGCTTTTCACTTTCAACAACGCATCACTTTTTCTCTCTACACCACAAAAGAACAGAAGAAAACAGAGATATACATATATTCATGCATTCACTGCAAGGAAAATCGTGTATAACGTGCCACACGCGACAAATATTGCAAATGAGAGCCAAAGTTTATTGGCATGGAATTAGAGGGTGTAAAAGGGGATTAGACTGAAGCATAATTAGCGCTACTGTCACTCTCTCTAAATGGCGCACAAAAGCATATTAAACAAGAAAGAAACTGTTCTATAGTATGGGTAATATTACACAATGTTTTGGTAAATATTGTTCTTCTCACAAAGCTCTCTATACATAATTATAATACAACGCTGGATTAAGTATTGTATACAAAAGTCTGTAAAATTGTTGGTGTTTTTAATATGTTGGAGTGTCAGAAAAAAGAAAATCTTTCACATCACTAAATCAAAAGAACAATATTAGGTAGGCAAATAACACGACAAAAAAAGAACAATAAAGAGAAATTGTAAGTTTTTCGTCAAACAAACACTTGCAGTTATTCAATTAATATTGTTCTTGTTTTTTCTCTCTCTCTTCTCTCTCTCTTTGCCAAAATTTCATGCCATGTGAAATCGATTTCACATCGTCAGCAAATCCAGAGATGATATCATGAGGGTTCTTCACAATTTTGACTCTCCTCTAAACATATAATGCGAAAAAAAGACAGTCTAAAGTCCAATCCTAACCGCCAACATAGAAAGCAAATGGTGAAATGTAATATAGTTTCTTATGTACAATGTTTCACAGCTGAAATCCCTCAACAGAATCCCACGCGATACCATCTCAATATCGTCACAAGACAGAGAAATAAATGAAAAAAAAAACTCCAAAAGAAATTAGGAAAAACAACTGATAATAAGGTTGAGGGGAGAAAAAAATGAGAGAGACAAATAAAAATGGACTCTTTTTTTGCTTAATATGAACAGATGAAGAATTCCTTTACCTGCTGCTGGCCAAATAAAAGTTGCCGCGTGGCCGAATTGCGGATAACAATAACAGATTCGGTTTTCTCACGTCGCGGACGGAGAAAGTCTAAGTGTCTTGCCGGTGAGGACGTTTTGGCAGTCTGTTTGGCAGCATCTTTGGCCGGCGATGAGTCGCGATAGTCGGTGAGAATAGGCTCGGCGCCCACTTTGGGGCGCCTCTGAAAGATTCCACTCGAGCGCTGCGGCGCCACCTGATCGCCATTGCGCTCACCCAGAATGGCCGAGTGTCGCTTGGCCAGCGGGAAGAAGTCCGTGTTCTCGCGCCTGAAGCCGCGCACAAAGTTCAGCGACAGCTTCGAGTCGCTGTCCTGGCGCTTGTGCGCCGCGGCGCCCTTGCTCAGCTTCGCCAGCGCCTCTTGCTTCGCGCGCGTGTTGTTGGCGAAGATCTCACTCTTCACGCGCTCCTCCAGCCTCATGTCCGGCGCCCTCTTCGGCTCGCCCTCCGCCAGAGCTTTCTTCACGTCCTGCGGCTGCAGCGATATCCGATCGCGCCCGCCGCCGCTCTTGTTGCGCTGCTGCTCCAGCGTCCGCGAAGCCGGGAAGAACCTCTCAATGTCCCACTCGCGCAACAACACTCTCTCCTCGCTCTCCTGGCCATCGGCGCCCTTCTGTTTCTACACACGCGCCGCCGCCGCGCATCGCAATCCAAATGGCCACAATATTCATTCCCGTGATTTGTGTGCATTTTTTCAATTTGTTCGAGGTTTTTCACATTTTTTTTTAGGCAAATGAAGTGTTTATGTTTCGTGTGTGTTTGTTTGTTTGTGCAGCAGAATTTGTGTAACCATTTTTTTTGAGAGGGGATTCAATTGAAATTATTAAAAAAATTTCGAGGAAAGGACATTTTTGCAATTTGTTAGGGAATTTTGAGGGGTAAAAGAAAGAAAAAGAAAAATACATCAAATTAAAATAATGAACCATAACCATTTGTTTAAAAAGCAAGGTAATTTTCTCGGAGAAAATCTTCTTCTCCGCCGCGTTCTTGTACATATAAAAATCCGGCCTTTTTCATGTCTACACACAAAGGATCTAACAATTATAAACACCAGTGAAGGCAACTAATCTTCCAACACCAATTCAATGCTTTCTATCATCAAAAATTGTTGTACCGAAATTTGGAAAATAATACTATGAAAAAAAAACTCTCCCAGATTAATTGCAAGCTATCTAGAGACAAAATTAGAATATTCTATTGAGCAAAAATATATTGACGAGGGACATAATTATCGCACAAGACAACGGACTCACACAGAGAGATCAAGTGGAAGCACGGCAAAGGACTCACCCTCTTCATGATCAGCGTGCGATCGCCCTGATTCTGGTCATCGTCATCCGGAGTGGGCGGCAGCGGCCTGTTGGGCGGACCGCCCGATCCGTGGCTTGGCACTGGAGCTGCCGAATCCTCAGACAGAACCGAGAGTCCGGGCCTGTACGAAAATTCAGGACTAACAGAACAAAATTCACAAAACACAAGAAAACGTGGGCGCAAAATAGTCCCAAAAATCAAGAGTAATAAAGAAATGTGGGGATGAGAAAACAGTGAAAATTTCGTTAGAATCTCTCCTAATTTTGCTCATGTGGCGAATGGAAAGTGTGAGAGCTTTTGACGAATGACTCCAAATACTCACAGTGGCTTCGGCGGATCGCTGGCGAGGAGCGTCCCGTCGTTCCTGGTGCCGCCGTTTGCCTCTTCGGGCTCACTGTCCGTGTCTGAACTCTCGATCGGATCCAGTGGATTGACGATGGACTGCGCATGGTGATTGTTTGGCGGCGCCGGTGCTGGCTTCGATGGCACAGATGATGACGAATTCGACTGACGACTGTTCCTTGGCGGCGCCTCAGGCTGCGCCTGCTGCTGCTGAGACTGTTGAGAGACGCCCAATTCATTTAATTGTGCTGCTATCATGTCCAAATCCTAGCCGAATGGGTTTCCGTGAGTGAACAAAAGGTCTCCTTATACTCATCATATTTTCAATCAACATTTGGCATTCGCATCGCAAAATCTCCACTAAAAAAGCCCATCATAGCTCTTAGTTTAGCCATTTTTTTTCTCATGCACTCCTGCATTTTTTGCCTCTATTTCTCCATTGCACTTGGAAAAATACTCTGTTTTATGTCAAGTAAAGCAGTAGGAAAGAATTATTTCCGGTCATTTGTCACAAGAAGACCTTTTGATGCACTTTTTTGGATCGTTTCTAGCCAAAAATACACTATTATTGCGAAAAATAACTTTGCTTAATTTATAGGCGCATAAAGAAGAGTTTGATACAAAGCGAGAGAGAAAGGAGATAAATAAATGCAATAAACAATCATGTGCAAAATTACAAAACATAAATCTATTGCTTGATAACATACCTCTGGTCTTCGTGGTGGAAGCTTTACATATTTTTGCGTTACATTATCACAGATAGATTATACAAATAAAATATACACACAAAGCCAAAAAACAATTTGAATGTGCAGGAAAGACATTCACGAGCGAAATTTTTGATTTGTGCATAATTTTTGTTGTTGTTGTTCGTGTTGCCAAGAAGAAATTTGTGAAATTGTGATTTGAATTTGTAATTCGACGACACAACCATGAGAGAATTTGAAGAGGTGTGTGTATTGTTGTTGTTTTTTTATCAAATTGTGCAGCAGCAACATTAAATACATTAATATTGTGGGTGCGTGTGATTTGAAGAACAAAACAGCCCGGGAATACATGGAACAAAAAGAAAAAGGTGTAAAGCAAAAGAAATATGAGAAAAAAATAAAATAATATTTTACACTATGACTTTCGGCGAAGAGAATGAAATTCTGGGAGAATCTCACTCTCCAAATTTATCGTGCAAATATATCAACTTTGCTCGCGCTGGTTTCTGTGATGAGATGAGAAAGTGTGAACAACATTCCACTTACCATTGGCTTGAACATGTTCTGGGAATTCCGCTGAGCTTGCTGCGGCGTCTGCTGCTGCGCCTGCGACGAGCCAGAACTCCTGGGCGTGGGCGGAAGCGGTCTGTTGGCGTGCTGCGATCCTTCCGGCGCCACAATCAACCTCTGCGGCAGAGCCGGACGCGATGGCGGTCCAGGCTCCTCGATGGCCTGCTTCTCGGCACGATGCTCGCGCTGTGGCTTCTGATTCCTGATGGGCTGCGGCTGTGGCTGATCCACGCTCTGCGCCATTGTCCTGCCCTCCTGGATCTGCTGGAAGTTCCTCCGCAGCGTGTCGCCGCCCGGCGCTTGGATGATAGACGACGGCTCTCCGGCCGTCTGTGGCTCCTCGTCGTCATTGTCCGATCCCGAGTACCGATAATCCTCGCGACTCTCCTGCTTGCGCTTCTTGCACCGATCAATGTGATCCTTGAGCTGAATCCGCACCTGTCGCTCAGTCGGTTGCTCCTTGATGAAGGGATGCTTCAGTAGTTGCTCTGTGTAAGGCCGCTGATGATAGTCTTTCACTGTGTGCAAAGGAAGATTGTGAGTTTACATAAATTCCCATCTAAAATTCTCCAATTTGACTTCCTCTGCTGGACATTTGCCAAATAGTTCATCGTCATTGCATATTGCATTAATCGACACACACGCACAAATATATTTAATGGAAATCTGGCTTTCGTGCCTCACAAAAGTCTCTTGATTCAATCTTCGGTGCAAATTGCTTATTTCACTGTCTCTCACCCTGTCTCATTGTTTCATGCTAATTAACAAAATAAAGAAATACACCAATGGCATATCATTGAGAGACAGAAATTAGCGTCAAATGATTTTTCCATACAACAGACAGACAAACTCACACACAACGCTGTGCATTGAGGAAATTGCAAGGCAATAGATATCAATCTTTTCACATGCACTCGCGAAAGAGACACTCTTTTTTTGTGCGCAAAGGAGTGTTTCGCAAAGATGAATCATCTCACTTTCTGTTAATTGAATTTAATTAATAGAAATCATGTGAAAAGGAGAAGTGCATTGAGAGACAATCCGACACCGCGGTCAAGGTCTGCTTAGTCTGCAGTCAATTACTACCAATTGGCAGTTACAACTAAAAATATGCTTCATTGCTTACCAAGAACTGTATCGATGAATCCCTGAAATTTCTTCGACCACTTCCTCGACTTTAAACGTGGCGGTGAGTTTCTTGGAATGAGAAAGAGTGCTCGCATGGGATGCAAATCACACAGTGGCGGCTGTGACTCTGCCATCTCCAGCGCTGTTATGCCCAGTGACCACAAATCACTCCGATTGTCATACGTTGCATCCGGATTCTCATCGCAAGCAATCACCTCGGGCGCCATCCAATACGGCGTGCCTGAAGAAAAACACACACGCGCTCAGTGATATTGATTTGCGAAACCTCTGCATGAGTTTCCCCTCCTTTCAGGTCTCACAGACTGCTGGAAAAACGCACATCAATTTGGCAAAGAGTGGCTTTTGCTGTCCGAAATCATATACTTTAAGCCAAGGATTAGGGTTGGGAATGTGAGATGTGCTATATGAGTGTCCAGAATTTAAGTGACACTCTGCGGTTGTCTGCTTTTCCACATCGCTCACGGTGTATAAATTTCATCCACATAATCCGGAAAATATGGTGTGATGATAAGTAGTAAATTTTTAGAACACTGTCTCTAGAGTAAAACCATAAAAACTCACCAATAAACGTATTTCGACGTCCTATCGTGCGATCCAACTGGGCAGACACACCAAAGTCCACCAGCTTCACCTCAGCATTGTCCGTGAGCAGGACATTCTGTCCCTTGATGTCTCTGTGTATCACCTTGTTTGTGTGCAAATAGCTCAAACCACGCAAAATCTCACGGCAAATGTACGCTATCCACTCCTCCTTGAGACTCTGACCTTTTGTCGACTTCACCAGATCCGTGACAGATCCCGCGCCGCAGTACTCCATCACCAGCCACAGCTGATCATCCTTGCCGGCCGGCGATTTCTTGATGAAGGCCCCATAGTATGTGGCGATATTGCGATGATTTGAGTACTTCTTCAGTACATTTATCTCTAATTTTATCTCCTGCTCCTCTTCCTCAGTCACATCCATCACTTTAATTGCGGCCAATTGGCCAGTCTTTGTGTGGCGACCCTGCAAAAGCACGGAGAAAAAAGGAAAAGAATGAGAGAGTGAATTGAGACATCATTCAGAAGCCCGACAAGACTATGATTCCTCAAGAAATCTCACAGTTTTAAAGCACAACTTGTTGTCATAGCCAATAACACTCACACACTCACATAGATAAATTCAAAATCCCATTTCGAGATTCAACCCCGAGCCACATAGGAAATACGAAACCAACAATATCCGGGAGTTGCAACCACAAAAACCAAACACTCTCAGCCATAATTTACTTCTTTCAACCACCCATTTCCAATTTTCTCCAATATTCCAACTCCGCCGCGCTCATTCTCTCTCTCTTTCTCTTTGCGCCCCTGCCCTTTGGCATGGCGTCACAAATTGAAGGAAAAACACGACAAAATTCCTTCACTACACATCTTTAAACTGTGATTTATTTGCCTCTCCTCACACTCTTGCACATAACATTTTATTGAGAAATGTGGTTTGAAGAAATATATTCTTCTTTCTAAGAAAAAAAAACACCACATCGAGAAATCTATTATTATTCCAATGTGCCTACAAGACACTTTTATTGCCATTTTTCTTCGCTCTCCACGCAATAACACAACAGCACAAACACACTTTACCCTGCCATTTGTTCACCTCTACAACACCTTCTTTATTCCCGATAAACTCTTACTTCTCCTAATCATTTATCAATAAAGAAATGAACAATGGCTTTTGCCTCTGATTGCGCAAACGATTATCTATCAATTTACTAATTTCTCGGAGAAAAAATCACTCACCTCTCGCGTGAAGTGAGGCCACTTATCAATTTACATAAAAGAAAAAAAAACTATCTATATACAAAAAAAGCTGGTTCAATAAAGTGCTGAGAGATAAATTGACTTTCATGAGAGATCAGCATCGCGCTAGAAGATTTATTTCCTAAATTAAATTAAAGTTGCACACAGAAAACCAAAAGAAAGAAGGAGAAAGAGAAAAACACTCATTGATGACTGACATCAAATGAGCCATATTGAGGAATTTCATGGTGAAATGAAAGCAAAAGAAGAAAAGAAAAGACTATCATCAAAGTGAAGGAGGAAGAAAAGCTCAACTCTCTCATTTGCAATTGAAAGAATCTCTTTAATTAAAAGTTCGAACCGTGAATATTTCTGTCTTGATAAATTAATGCAGAATCATAGTGTTAAACACGTTTTGATGCATCGCACACGTATAGTATTATGCATATTGAAGAGAGTGAGTAGAAAAAAAAGATGATAAAGCAACCACATTTTCATAATCATTTCATGTACTTTCACTTTTTATAGTCAATTCAACACTTCTCCAATCACTGCAGCTCAAGTGATCTCTCATTGGCAAAGCCAAAATATTTTATCACTGCACTCAAAGAGCAGAAATACGCTCTTCAATTTCAACCAATGCACACAACCGCAAAGAGAAAGGAGAGATAGAGAAAATGAATTTAAAACTTCCTAATTACATCATTCTGGCAAAGTGGAAATGAATGTTCTGCAGCAAACTTTGGCATTTGCCATTCAAATGCTAATCCATAATCTTATCACACTTGTCAACTCCACATAATTTCCAATGAATCGCATTCAATTGGAAGTATGCAAAACTATTCGATAAAGAAAATTAGCTAAATTCTCAGTGAGAATCACATTTCAGGCATGCCAGAGAATATTGATGTGAACTTCAGAGAAGATATTCTACTGAAATGACACAACTAAAATGATAAACACTTCCTCTGTGTGTCAAGAAGTGTGTGTGTGTGAAAGAGAGAGAAGTTCAACAATTCTGCATTTAAACTTGACTGAAGAAGATTGACGTACAAAAATGCGTCGAGGGAAAATGTTACGTTTGTTCTGTATTTAATTGATAAGACAATTGTTTAATAATTAAGTATTTCAACCGTTGTGAATGCAATTCAAGCAAATATTTCAATCTAACTCTGATCAGTTTAATGACTCAGTGCGAAATTGATGGACTTTTCCTGAGAGATTTTGCTCTTCCAAACCGAATAGAAATCTTGAAAATTCTTCACACAATCTTCTATTAATACAAAATCGACGAAATCTCACTCTTCCTGTGTAATTTACTCACTGCTAATCACACACAGTGACAAAAAGGTAAGCAAACAGTGAGTCTTTGACACATTCACTGCGGGAAATAAATTTGTGACTCGATATAAAAGTGACTAAACGATGCGATTACAAATTCTTCATTCATCCACAATTCCATGCTTCAAAGTGTAAAAGATAAAGAGAGAGACGAATGTGTATTTGTCAATTTGACGCTGAATGTGTTCCCTCAATCAATTCAATTAACCCTATTCTTGTAATCAACACTGAATTGAGAAGTTGAATTTCACCCAACAATGTTGCTGAAAATAAAGCAATTGGACAAATAAAGTCATCAATTGTAAGAATTCTCACTTGTACTTTTTCACAGAATCTTCCATTCAAGTTCATTATCAAAGTCAACGTCACATGAATTACGCAGAAAATTGTTTCTCTCGCATTTCCATGGAAAGTCATCGAAAAAAATAAAACAACAAACGTAAGGCGTATTTAACATGAAAGCCGACCTCATTTTTTTGCCTCTCGCACAAATTTTCTATACGCATAAACACTCAGGCAATTGACAGAATCTCGTCACATATTACTCTCCATATTTTTTTTACATCTTCAGTGTAATGCAATTAAAATGAAACACGATGTTTAATCATTTGGGAATATTTGATGACCCCAGCGAGCAAACATATCTCTATCTCTAAATTGACTCACTCGAATATTTTCTCCAGATTTTCATGTGTGCTTCTCGCATTCTCTCTCACTCTCTCACTCTCAACTCGTGGCGTTACAGCTATTTAATGCTAATGACCTTTTGCACACATAATGTGTGCCCACCATTTACGTCACAAGATTGCACTATAATGACTTGTGTGTGGCGATAAAGTTTTAGCGATGTCAGGTCAAAAGGCCATCAAGAGTCTCAGGGAAACAATAACAACGGAGGAATTGGCAATATTGCACTCTCTAAACCTCCGCCCGGAAATTGTCAATAAAATGCACATTCTCAAGACTTTAATCATTTCCTCAAAACCCATCCTCTGTGCGGATGAATTCAAGTGATTCACTTTTTCACTCATTATGTGCAAACATTCAAAAAATTCCTTCACCATAATTCGGACGCCCAATTGTGGTGGGAAAAGTTATAATTTTTCTCTATAGAAATTGGGTATGAAAAAATATAGCATATGTATAAATTTTAATACAATTTAACCAGTGAATGTACATAATATTGTAATTATTTGCATGTGTAAAATTACAATCACACGTTCTAAATAGCTTATTGTGAAAAACATCACTCTTTCTCTCTCTCTTTCCCTGCTGTGTTGTGTGTGTCTCTTTGGCACTTCTTTTTTTTCTCAGTAAACACTAATAAGCTCGTATTTTTTCTCCACCTCTTTTTTCTCATGGTTCTTCACAAAATGAATTGCCAGAGAGCAATATTTCTCATAATGACTCAATTTTTACCTCCAAGCCATACATATAAATTTAATAGGAAAACTTTCATATCAATTAGCATATCGGGAAATTAATTTTGCACCTCGTCATTTCAAGCATCACCACAGAGACACTCACCTTATAAACTTGGCCGTATGTTCCATTTCCTACGACTTCAATCAACTCAAATATTCCAGCTGGATCCTGCAATGAAAGAGGAGAGAAAAAAGACTGTCTGTAAATATTTGAAATGACTTTATCACTCTTCGCTTCTCATATATGAACTCGTGAGCAGGAAAAAACGCCTCAATATCTCATGTATCTCATGACAGCGCGAAAGAAAGTGAATGCGCTGATGCTGCCTATTGACAAAAAGAGTTGCAAAATATGCAAAATATCATCAGACGCTGGTGAGATAAACAAGTCACGGTGGCAAAAAGACGTGAAGGATGTCGTTAGAGTGCGAAAAAATCATAAATTACACATCAAATACGATCCAATTTGATCACTTTCCATTCACTTCCATCTCATTTCGCCCGCGACTGTGCTTCTTGCCTTTTGCCATCTCGCCACGCACTTGAAATGTGACTCAATTTGATAACAAGTGCGTGGGTGTTGAACATATTAAAAACTTCAGCCGCAATTCCACCATTTATATTTTACAATTCGTGCTTTCTTCCCCGTGCTTCCCCGCGCCTGAGAGATAAAAGAAGTCACAAACCCAGAAAAGAAGGCTCAACAAGTCTCTCAATTCTCAATGCATTATTTTGACCTTTTCAGCGGGTCAAAATACTCTGACAACCAGATTTTTTAATTCATATTTCTGTTCACTGTGTTTTTTCTGCTCTTTCACCCAACTAAATGTGCCTTGATCGAACGACAAAAATTCGTTGCTGAAAAAAAAGCATTGATTGCACATAACACACATTTACACACAGTGAAAATATATACAAAAATCTCTTTCATGTTTGTGCGCACAAAAAGCACATCACACAGAAAATAATCAAATAAATTAATTCGCGCAAACTTTACAGGTTCATCGTGTCAATGACTTCCAGGCTTAAATTGGGCAGAAATTCAGCAGAACAAAATAAAGCTCATTGATAAACATTAAAGTTGTAGGAGAATTTAGCATAACCCGCTCTTTAAATGCCTCCCATTTAAAAAATTCATATCGAAAAGCCGGAGAACACCCGAGAATTTCCTCCTTTTTCGGGTGTGTCACTCTGCAACATAATAAAATACCCAAAATAAATATAATAGACACCCCAGAGAGACTCATATATAACCACTTATTAATTATTCAACGTGTCTAACTCTATCATTTTCACTTTGTCGCGCTCCTTTTCACTCCCAAAAGTGTCATTTATTCCGTTTCAAGTCAGCCCTCATTTCGCCCCTCCGCGCATAAACACACTGATTTGACAGTGATGAGAGTCAAACAAAAAGAATTCACACACCCTTCCGCGCTCCTCCTTTTGCTCTCTCTCAACGTCTCTAAAATGTATATTTTCATAACGTCGCAGACAGAAGAATTTTCCCCAAAACTCCATTCAGGAGAGACTTGAAAATTCTTCCCCTTTAACTTTACAATATACAATTCACATTGCTACAGTCGATTATGCTAACCATTGTGCCCGACGTATTCAATATTACATCGCTTGACTCCCAGAATCAGAGTTGAAAGACACTCAAAAAGAGATAAAAACGCCTGCAATCGCGATTGTATGATAAAATGTGGCAGAAATATGATGAAAGCATATTTTCGACCATTGCATAATATCACAGAGGCAATTGACAATTTCTTGTCTTCCTTATTTCTCTCTGTCTGCATTCCCACGCTTTCATCCTCAACTGCAATCTATGCACTCTGCAACTCTCTTCGCACAGGCAAAGAGAGAATACAAAACAGACGGGAAAGAGTGACAAAATCCATTTTCCACTGTCTTCCCGAGATGAAAAATCAAAATTTGTCGAGCAACTCAAAATACACGCACGCGTTTCATGTGTGCGTCGGGTTTGTTATCAACAATGCCACAGAATGAATTCATTTCACGGAACACTGGAAACATGTCATCAGCTGAATAAATAAATCCCAAAAGAGAGCGGCTTAATTTATAAATATTTGTCCGCGAGACAAGAGAATTGGTCGTATCGCATTTTTGCTGTCCAATTGACGGATGATCTATATATTTTTTCCAACAATCAAATCCAACAACATTTTGGGGCAAAATCGAAATTGTCAAAGTTGCAGAGAGAGAGAAAATATTGTGTGTCACTCGCCGTGTGGAAAATTTTATTCACAAAATACACATATTCAGTGCATTGCATTCAAGGTGAAGGCATTAACAGGTGCTCGAGTGGAATGAAAAGCCAACTTTCCACGGAAGGCGCCATGCGGCGATTCACCCACGCAGCGACGAAAAAAAAACCCACTCGGCGCCAAAACCAATCGATTTGTGTCGCACATAAAGCTCTTTATACCATATGAAAATTCCTCCTCAAACTCCCCCCTTCGCCATTCCACACTTTGCACACCTTTTCGCCGTGCCATCGTGTCTGCTTGACCACTTTTTGCCACTCTGCAAATGCATCGATTTATTGCAGAGTGGCAAAAAGTTGCTGTCTCGCACCCCAAAAACGCGAAGACCGTGACAAAGGGATCAGCTGAAAAGAGGTTTATTGTTATTTTGCAAATCGCCACATCCCTTTGTCACACCTGGAAACACATTTCTCCCCTTTCACATGGATGGAATTTGGCAAGAGCACCACGGGAAAATATAGTGACACGAGAGAGAAATGGGTTGAAGTCAACAAGAAATATCAATTTGACACTAACAGCAAATACAAGTTCTGATAAGATATGTCGAAGACGGCTAAGAGTCAAAGAGGGAAGAAAAAAAAAACCTTAAACGATAAGAATGATAAACAATGAAGGAATGCCTATAAAATCAACCGAATAAAGAACCCATCAAAAAATACCCCAAACAAGATCAACGCCTCTAATTTCCTCCCAGCAATTACACACTCTCATCCGCACTAAATCCACACAAATTCCCAAGAGAGACTCTTCTTCGCGCTCAACTGCAAGGAAGTTTTATAAATAACTGATTAATAGTTGGGGAAATACTTTTGTATATGCTTTGTATTTATAAAACTGGTGGAATAAACGACCAAAATACAATTGTCGTTACAATTCCAAAATGCATGACGCTTCGCCAGTGCGAGTTTTGTGAGGCACAGAGAAGAATTCCTCTCCACTTTTCCCTTTTTTCCAAAGCTACATAAGAGACCGGAAAAAAGAACCATCGCTTCTCGAAAGAACATTATGAAGAGAGAGAAAGTTTAAGAGGAAAATCCTCAGCAGAATTACCAAATAGCTCTACAAAAAGACAAAGTGTCGAAAATAAGGAGGAAGATCATGAAGCAATTTCTAATTTTGTCCAGAACAAACAGAAAAACAACCAATTTGTACTTATTTTCCGCCCCTCAAACACGGAAAGGGACATTTCAACACTGGGGATACCCTCGAATTCCACCCTCTCGACAGACAATTTAATCGATGATCCTCTGCAAATATTTACTGTAAAAATACAGCCACTCAAAAGTATGCTAAACAGTCACTTTAACTTATGGAAATCTTGCTTCTCGCATTGCAAACATCGGCCTTGACGGTGAGAATTTCAGGCGATGGGCAAAAAAAGCTGCGCGACCAATTAGAGAGAATCATTTTCACGAATTATCATCACTGGTTAAACTTGAAGAAGTTCAATTATCTCAAGTGTTTTACCGCATCATGTTCTGCATATTAAAGTCGCCAAGCACACATTGGCGCACAAAGAGTGAAACTTCCTCATTTGATTACACGCCTTTTTGGCCGGATTCATTGCCGAATTAGAACAATTTCTCATGTTCTAATTTCCTGGGCGTCAGATAACAAACATATTAGAGTCGCATTGGAATGTAAAGAGGCCAAAAGAGGGCCTTAAATGTAGGTGAGCCACACTTTATCAGCTGTTTTATCGGACTTTTGCTGTCAATAAACTCGCGAAAAAATGCCGCAGAAATAACAATGAAAGTTATTCACTTTTTTTTCACCAGTTTTATCGCCACAAATGCATGCACGTCGAGTGGAATAATCTTCCCGTCATTCAAGTTAAGGAAAACTCCAAGATAATAAATAACATTCGAGGATATTTAGACGCTGAATTCAGTGCAAAATTTGTTTCTTTGTTGCTTTATTCCGCGATGCTGTGACAAAGAATTTTATGTCTAATTCAATATAATTCTGATATTACTTGAGAAGCAGTTTTAAGAACCCAATTAGCAATTCTCTAACTGAGTAATTAAGCTAATGAACTCATAATTAGAACTCTATTAGACTTAAGAATCAGGAAACTATCCTTCAATCGTAAAGGAATTGATAGAATTCTTTGATTTTCAGCCACTTTAGCCACTATTCAGACTCGTGTAAAAGGAGAAAATCTGAGAATCAAGGTGTGAAATGTGAGTTTATCTCCCATTTACTGCAACATCCGTTTGTTTCTCTTATGTATTCACTTCTGCATATATTAAAAATGACGATAATCACGTGTTTTCTGTGGATTTTAGGCAAGTTTGAGGCATAAAACCCAAACTGTTGAATCATTATTCAATTGACCCCTGAACCACAGTCTCCTCTTGAGCAGCTCCAACTCAAGCATTCTGTGACGAATTTGATCCAGTTGGATGTCTTATTGGTTAGCGACCTCTCTTCAGCTGCCGCGGAGCCCGAAGAGTGTCTGAATCACGGCGGGCGTGTGTGTGAGTGCGAAGACGGCACAAATTTATTCAGCGAGAAGGTAAATTGACTCATGCCATCGATTGGAAATACACCTCGGAGTCCAGCGAGACTCTGGATGGCTTCTCCCGAGGAGAGATTCGCTCAATTGCCGAGGGGAGGAGATGTGTGTGGGAAAATTTCTCCCATTGTCTCGCAGCTTCATTTTTCGGAATAAATCATCTCTCGAGGAATCCGCGCGCCTCACCCTTCGCCCCGTGCGAGTCTCCCGGAACGCGATTGCGCACACGACTCCGCAGGCACTCGCCGGCTGTGCCGCGGGGCTCCCGTGGGGCGCCCGCCGAGGGTGTGCGTGTCGCGCGAGAGACGAGGAAGCCGCAAGAGTGACGGATTGGAAAGTGAGGCTCCGCTGGCTGGGTTTGGTGGAGAAATTGTGGGAATTTCGTGCCGAGTGCCACGCGAGCCGCCTCTTCCGCGTCTCCGTGGCGGCGAGCTGCGGGCGCCCCCGGAGGGCCTCCGGAGGCCCGCACCGCCGGAGCCACACCTTCTTTTGCGCGCACGAGGGCGCGGCCGGGAGACGGCGCCCCCGCAGCGGGGCCCCATCGGCCCGGTGGCGCGGACAGCATCCCGGAAATTACCTTGAGGGCATTCAAGTCGATATCGTCGAGCGAACAGTTCACAGACGGAGCCATTTGATGCGCCATTTTGCGACGACGACACTTTTTCTCTCCGGACACGGAAAACAACAGCAAAAGTCCACGCACTCGCCAGCCGTTCTCCGCACTTGTAGCACACTCCAACCACCCACTTGGACACCTAAAACACCATCAATTGCGGCCTGGGCACACTTGGCGACCTCCTCGACACTCTTTTCTGCCCTTTTTCACGCACTCACTCAACTTGACGGGCTGTTTTCTTCTCTCCTCCGGACATCTCTCTTGACAATCCGCACGACTCGCGCTCGGCTCGCGATCGTGCCGTCGATGGCCCGTCGATGAACTCGGCGACTTGTCGCGCTAGTCGCTCAGAGCGTGTCTCGGCTATTTGCCTGCCATCAGGCGCCAATTTTGCTTCAAACCTTCAAATGCGCCCATTAAATTACGCCGCGTAGAGAAAAGAGTGGTTTAAAGATTACTGTTTTTGTCCTTTTAATCTCATGCTATTTATCATTTCTTCACTTCTGGTATATAAATTACAGGTAAAATGTTTGAATCTATATAAATGTATCGTCAAAATTATGCAATGCGATCTTCATCGCGCGCTTTCGGAGAGTAAATGAGAGACAAAACCAAAAATACTCGGATAAAAGTCACAATTTTGATTAAATATACAAATTTCTATCTAATCTTCCTAAGTAGAGAACTTAACAATCTCCAACCGCCAGCGAATCCTCGACTGAAATTACTATGCTGATGCGAATCTCGCTGGCAGTCAATTCTTGTCTCATAATGTTTTTCACCTTATAAAATTTCTTTATCATTCTACATTTTTATCATCTTCATGTAAATATACTTTCTGTTAGTATGCTTAATAGGTTTTTTTTCTTTCTGGTATCTTGTCAATTATACGTTAGTATTGAGGTTAAAGGTAGAGAAGCTTAAGATCTAGAGTTAAATCACTGTTTATCTCACTTTGAATTCTCTTTTTTTATCAATTTCTCCTCTCAAAGAAGCAATGAAGCGTAATTTTTTTTGTTTTTTGAAAAAAGTTCAACTAGTTTTCTCATCATTTTTTCATCAATAAATCACCTAAATAGTATATAGAGTCTAAAATGTTCTCTTTTTTGTTTTAGTAAATAACTCTAGTGATTGGATACGTTAATGGGAGAAATTTTCCTTTATGCTCAAAAAGACAGTGTTTTTCATCTCTCTTTTTTTTTAATTAAGATTGTAAGAAGAGTTAAAATTTTGGTTTTATCGCATTCGATCGATGAAAAAGTTTTTTTTATATGAATCAAGCTCGAATTCGATAAATATTCTTGTTTTGAAACTTTCTAGAGAATTTCTTGTTTAGTGCTAAAGTTCGGCTATCAAATGGTTTATTAGCAACTGTTTTCTCGCAATTTTTACTAATCATATTTTATTTACAATTTTTATTCTGACTTGTTTCCACACTCAATTTCTCCACACTCTCCGCTTTCTCTTGCTTGTATTATTTTTTCACATGAAATTTAGAGAAGAAGAATATCAAGGACGGATTTGTGCATTAAAACGTGTTTTCTTTTTATCATATTTCGCTAAGAGAGTTTCATTGTTTGCCAAAAAATGTTTTTTTCAACGAGTTTTTCATGAACAATTTGTGCAGAAATGCAGCGAAATCAAGTCAAGAAGCATTCTATCAATTTAATTTTGTGCGAAAAGCTTGTAAAAATCACGAAGAGTTTGGGGAAAATGTCATCACATGTGAGAAGAAATATGATATGAAAGTGATTTTGAGGCTTTCTTTTTTAAACTGTTCCCAAATTTGCTAACAGACAAAAATGCCACAAAAATTGCCCTTTTGCGTTGGAAATTTGGGAAAATATCCTCGTGACAGTGAATTATTTCGATGCGTCTGATGAAAAAGATGTTCAACAATTTATGAAAAGTCTGTCACAATTCTTGCAAAAATATATATGAATTTTTTTTTCTCATTAAATATATAGCCTAACAACAGGAATATATTGTATATTCAATTTCTTCTTCATTCAATTCATTCACTATTAAGATAAATTACAATAAAATATCCCAAGAATTTATCAAAAAGATTGCAGCAATTTGTGTCACGATTGAAAGTCTTCAAAAACATTTCAATCGCCCAAGCAAGATTTATCTTCTTAAAAGTGTGCTTCATCAACAAGATTCCATAACAAGATGTATAGTTTATAAGGTATTTTTCTTCTTCCTTCTCATTCTAAATTGTTATTTATAGTATGAAGTATATTTGTGAAGATTCTCATAAGTTGGCATCGAAGGAAATCAATCAAATATTGGAGGTTATATTTCGATACTAGTCAAGATTCACTACTGATAAGGATAGATTTTCTCTCCCCTTTTTACTTCTTCACATCCGGGATGAGCGATTGTGTGAGAAGAATCAGAGTATTTACACTAATGTTAACAGATAAAGACTGTGAAAGACTTTACACTGGTAAAAATGCACGGTATAATCAATTGAATGAAGACAGTTTTTGACTATTTTGAAGTGTCCATCAAAGTCGCTCATCCCAAAACCATCACCATTCATAAGTCATTCGGTGTCTATTTATAAGTACAAAGTCAATTTCTTAAAGCATACATCAACGTTTGTTAACTTAAAACTATATCGAGTGTTGATTTTCGTTGACAACAATAAATTACAGATAAAATAGCTCTCTTTCTTCTTCATCTTCTGTTTATCTAATTCTTTTGATTGTATTCAAACAAGGCATAAAGAGGAGATGCAACGAGGTAAAAAACAATCACTTTCCAACAGACTTGCGGACACTCGCGGCGCCCCAAAAGCATCTCAACACCCCCTGAAATCCACTAAACAGGTTAAAAACACAAAAAATCACTTCGCAACGAGCGACGAAACGGGGGAAAAGAGGGAGAATCGCGCGCCAATCGTCTACTTTTTAAGTCTTTTCGTAGCTGCACTGAGGATGCTCCTGATCCTGTCCTTCGTGCTCGCGACACCCTTGTCGCCTGCATCAAATTCGTCGTAGTGCTTCTTGGGCACGGCCGGCACGTGCAGGTACAGCGGATCGCGCAGACGCCGCAAGTCCTGCTCCACGTCGGCAATCTCGCGACGCAGCTGATTGTACTGCATCAAGTCCAGGCCCTGCTTCTTCGCCCGCTTGTGCATGTCAATGAGGAATTGTCGATCTCGCACGTCCTCCAGCACGTATTCCTGCCGCGAGAGGGAAAAGAGGAAATCATTCATATTTATGGCACGAGAAGGAAAACACCAGAGAAATTCCAGGAAAATGTAAATTGTGAGGGAAAAATTCCATTGCAAAAAGTTTTGATTGAGTGAAATTTCATAAGGTTCTCTCTCTCGTCCCTCTCCTTCGTAAAGAAAAGAGACGAAAAAGTTTAATTGTTCCATGCGCGAGGATTTTTTCTCCATCCTCCAGAGGCTCACATTTCATTGCTGTCAAGAGGAAGAAATCTTGCTGCAGATGAAAAGAATTTTGCAGCGAGAAAAGATTGAGAATTGAATCACAATAGATGAAAAATGTCTTGAATTTTTTACTTCTCAGTGCAAAATTTGAATTTTCTCCACTGAATAAATTAAGCAATTTCCATTATTGAACACTGAAAATTGTTAAATCAATCGATAAAGCGTCAGAAACAATTCAATTTGACATTTTTCTCTCACTGCACTCAATTCCCATCTGATTCTCTATTCAAAAGCTCTTCCAAGGAGTCTGGCAAATTTATTCATTTCCCATTTCAATCATAAGATAACTCATAAAGCACGTTCTTGACGCTTCTCGAGGACTCTTCAAGTGACTCCAAAATTCATAAGGAATCTCATAAGGAAGAAACACACTCGTGAACCTTATTAGGCAATGGAGGAAAAAAAGCAATTTCCCTCGCTCGACATCTTCACAAGAGGCAGAGGAAAAGGATGAAAATACTTCGTTCGCTCACCTGTTTTGTAATACAATAATAAGCGTACGCCGCCATAGCTGTGCCATATGTGACGAAATATGTGACTGGCTCCATGATATCCCAGGAGTACTCCCACCAGGTCAATCTGGCGATTATGCCGAACTGCACAGACATGAAGCCCAGGCCCACCCACGTGAGGATGTTCGTCCTCTTCACGGCCTTCGCCTGCAATTCGCACTTTTTCTGCAAAGACAGCAACGATAATAAATAAACAAAGCAAAGGGTGAGAAAGAGAATTTGCCGAGAGGCAAAATTAAATGGATTTCCAAACTCTCTGAAATCTCTTTTGGGGGAGAAAAGACAAACAATATTGAAGGGGGCATAAATATTGCATTAAAAGCAGAAAAAGACACACACACACACACACGACAGAAGGAAAAGCTCAGCTAGATAAGAAGCCTTTTCCGCCTTTCCACTGAGGAATTGAAAACATCCCACGAATCCCTCATATATTCTACCGAAAAAAGGTAAGAAAAAGGAGTGCTTTCCTCTGTCTCTTCCTCATTCTTCCACCCTTTTCGAGCTTCCTTCCTCTTCCCATCTCCCAAAGTTCCTCGATATTCTTCATGTGCGTCTCTCGGCTCAAACATACCTTTTCCAGTGGTGTAATTTTACTATTCAACTCCTCGAGTTTCTCGTGCAACTCCCGTTCCTTCTTAATTTGATGCTCACCAACATTCAGAGCTTCGTAGAGCTGCAAAAAATAACACATTTCATATATGTACAATTGAGAGAAGTTGAAGTCATGTGAATAAAATAGAGACCTCAAGTGCCAACATTACAATCATTTTTAAGAGAATGCGAAAAAAACGAACACACTTTCAGTTGAAGGATGCAAATGCATCCTCGTCACAAAGTGCTTTTATAGTGCCATTTCTAAAGCACCCAACTTCACACTCATACGAGGAGTGTTAATAAAAAGGGCACTGGAAAATGCATGAAAAGTTCCAGTATTTAATTTATATTTCTCACACGATATTTTAAACGTTTTAATTACCATCACAGACATTGTTTGCCATAGCAATAAAAGTGAATTTTCTGCAATTCGCCTCTGCAGATATTGAAATTTTAATCGCCCTCCTCAAAAACATTAAAATTCAAGGTGGAAAAGAAGCCATTTCACCATCGCATATCTGTTCTTTTTTCCCCCTCATTTAATCTCACATTTCTTGCCAACAACCATAAAATCAAAATCAAAGAGCTGTGCAATTATACAGTTTAATTTGCAGCAGCTCATTGGTGGAAAAAAGTACTTTATTCAACCAGAAGCATATTCTCTCTATATTTGATTCTATATTGTTATAATCACGAAACATTCACGCCGCGAGAGAAGAAGAATCGCGATGGCAAAAATCACTGCAAATGCGTCGCGCATTCAAGATAAATCACTGATTTCAATTAATGTGCCATGCAGTTAAATTTATATCTCAATTATTCAGCGCCCGCAGCGAATTGAAAGTCAAGAATTCGCTTTTTTCTCCCTCTCTTTCTTTCTTTCCTCTCTCTCCAAATGAAATCGAGGGTCAAGTAACTATTTAGGCCACATTAGCTTCGCCTCGGGAATAAGCGCGTAATTTGGTTCATTAGAATGAATAATTCCAAACTTCTCATTTTAATTGCAAAATTTCAGAACTTTTCCTCCCACTTTTCAAATTGCAAATAATATAATTAAATTTATCAAAACTAAAACATTCTCATTATGTTTTCCAATTAATTCAGATGCAAAACTTCGTCGTTTCTGCACTGAATTCACAGCTAGCCAAAAAAGCTATTTTTCCCTCCTATAGCGATATTCAGAGAGAGTCCTAAAGCAAATCTATCGGATATTGGAAGCAGTTATTCAACAAGAAACGATGGACTTTTATTAACATAGGCACTCAATTTGATGAAAATCGGAAAATCATATTGCCGCCCATTCATTCTGAGGCTATCAATCCGGAAAGAAGGACCCAACTTAATGCCCCTCTTGATCTCGAGAACCCCTACAAATTGATTGAGTCATCATCCATCCATCATCCCTCGTCGGGTTTATTTATACGGATGATAACACGTCTTTCTCGCCAGCAAACGGCGCACAGCATCAACTCGATATCGCTTACCTGTGCCACCAGAACTCGCACATCTCCTATTTTCGTGAGCTCCTCCGTTGTTATTTTATCTCTTATCGGTGGCATCACGTGATATTGCTTGTCATTAATGTGGAGCCTGCAAGAGAGGGAGAGAGAAGAGAATCGTTATTCCGACTGCTGAAGAGTGTTCAATCACTGGGAGATTAGAATCAAAGAGCCGAGAATTATGACTAACTGCGGATGAAGAAGTGGAGGAAACACGAAATCACTGCTGATATGCCTCTTAACCATCATTGATACAACTCGCGCGCACTCATTAAAATGCAATTTCTACAGTTAGTCAGAAAAGCCAAACTACACATAAGTGCATAAACATTGCGAAGAAGCGATAAACTCAGTCGTAAAGATGCTCCATTCAGCGCCATGTTCCTTTTTCCCTTTTCAACCAAGGAAAGAACAATAATTGAATTTCAAATCTTCTAGAGAAAAGACTCTTACACCAAAATTGTATTTCTTCTTACGCCAATTCCTCTCTATTTACCTCAACTCGCAGCCAAACAACAAAGACGAGCCTCACAATAAAATCCACGTTGAGAGCGACATAAAAACCAAGAGAAGACACACAAATTGCCTGCTTTCCTACACACATTTTACATGGCGATGGATATAAAAAGAGAAAAGATCCTAGGCCTTAAATTTTGCCATCTGAAAAATTTTTACATCTACTCCTTTCGCATTTACTGACTTTTACGGCATCACTCATACTAGAGAAAACTCCGTTTGGTGCGGCCAAGTGATAAAATACATCCACGAAGAAACCAACATTTCAGTCAAGTTCAACCCCTATGTGACACAGACTTTATTTATGAGGCCCCAATTGGTGCAAAAAATGTCATTTGGATCAGAGTTGAGGCTGAAAGCATCAGGAAGCATAAGTAGATAACATAAAAGTTTTCCGCAACTTCAACTTTTGAACTCTACTTCACCTGCCAAAAGTTTGGCCATATGAGAACACCTTGTTAAGCGAATATCAAAGTATAAATATTGCACCGAGGAACATTTATGTGAAGCACTGAACCAAACATTTTCTAATAAAGAGATTCTCACATTAGCACATTCATGAAAAGACTCGCGCATGTCCGAGCTGCAAGTGCTTTTTTCTTTCAAATCTCCTTTTTATTACCATAGAATTAGCAGCCAATTTAGTTTTCTGGAAACAAGAGAATAAGTAACGCTGGAGATCTGTTGGTGGCTCGTGGAAAGTCCTTTGAAGCATTTTTCAGCGAAAACTCCCCAGGGAATGTGCGAAAAAAACCTGCATAAAAATAGCACATCAAGTGTCACATGAACTTTACGATATGAATTTCAGAAAACATGAGAGACACCGTAAATGCTATAGCGACGAAGCTTTGATCATGGAATAATAATGAAAGCCAAAAAGGGCAATTCTTGTGAAGCTTGAGAGCAGAGATGTTACTTAACATTTAATCAATACCAGCCAAACTCTATGAAGATGAAGATGTGTCTGAGAAGGCGCTGCCAACAAGACTCTTTGGCAACTTGAGCTCACTTATGCAAGCAATATAACCGCAATTTTGCTGTTAAACACCTCCAACTTGCTGATATTACATCTATTCAACATTTCAACTCTGATTACGTATTTACTCAAGAGAAACACCCCTAGAATAAGTACATATATACATTCCCCTGTCCAGAGATTTTCACTTGGATCCTCTTCACTTTCTGCAAAAGCGCCTTTTCAGGATTTTCGCGGTCTGAGAGGGGGGAAAAACAGAGGAAAACTTAAAGCTTATGCGAATATCACGTGTGCTAAAGCGATGGTATTTGTTGGGGATGGATAAAAAGTATCTTGGAGAAAACTCATCCATTTTCCATCAGAAGCTTATCGCAAACCTTTCGGGATTTACATTGAATGAATCATTATATCAATGGCTCTTTAAAACTGATGTGAAGAATTTTATTCTCTATACTCTTTTGGTGTGAAAATTTATTGACTCTATCTTATCGTTTTCAGTTCGGAAACATGTACAAATGCAATACACTTTGCCACATTTCACACACAGTACGTGGAATTGAAAATAGAGCACAAATTGTAGAGTTGAATGTGTTTTTAATGGAGTTTTGCTTTAAAGTCGCTCTGAGGAAATGTGAAAAAGTGCTTCTGTGCGCTCTTTTCTCGCGATGGAGAGATGAAAAATGAGCATAAAACTTCAGTAATCATTCAGTGGAAGCATCTTGTCCATTATGCCATCATAAATAACACATCACACTCCATTGACTGTCATAAAATTAATATCAAAAGCTCTAATATGTATTTAATGCCATACTGTGAGTGAACAAAAGATGGAAAAATTAGTGAATTTATGTATCTCTTAATTTCGTTAACATTTAAATACAAATAAAACATTGTTATGAGTTCTGCCGCGAAAATCCCGCTTTTGTGTACATCGTGCGTATTGTTTTCCCACACAATGAGATCATTTTCACCCTTTTCTCATGGGGTGAAAATAGAGAGAGAACACACAAAGTTCAGGACAAAGTTTATGACACAAAAGCCTCAAAGAAAGTATTATGGCAGCTTTGTGAAATGCAATTTACCACATGTCAGAAAGAAAAGTCACACATTATAATGTAAAATGACTTTGCAAAACTTCCTCTTAAGCACATTCATGATAAAACACTTGGGCAAGAAACTATAGACAAAATGCTCTGTGATTCTGTGCTTTTTTCCACCCTCACAAATGAAAGCACTCTCGATGAATACGTGGGAAGATTTTGTGTGGAAAAGTGCGTGGGAATGTTGCCTTGAATTATTATCAAGTAAAGCCCACAAATTGTTGACATATTCATTGAAATACGTGTGAAAATACATGTTCTTAAGGGAAATACGCCGTTGGTAAATAAATCCAATCAAAAGCTCAAAGGAAGGAGTATTCTTGCATGAGAAATTGCTTCGCAAAATACTTTCTACCCAATCATTTTCCCAACTTCTTATGCCGCGATTCGCACATTTCCATCAAATTTGCGCACGAATGATCAGCAAAAAGCCCTCGAATCTCAGTGAATTGCCCATAAGATGAAAGCCAGGGATGATTTTCTATAGAAATTCATCATATATGTTTCTCCCATGACAATCTAATGCAATAAACACGCGCTCGATTCTCGCTCTTCTGGAAAAATACTGGGAGTGGTATAAATTCACGAGAGATTTATTCCATGTTTTTCATGCTTTTTTCTTCTTTCAACCAGAGGAAAACCAGGAGATTATAAGAAGTTTTCAAGTTATCCGATAACTCTTCAACTTCAGCGTATTAGTCAATTAAAAGTTTGAACATGAAACTCTATTTTATCATCATTAAAGGATACACGTTAAGAAAAACGACAAAGACAGAATAATGGCACTTCTCAGGGCAACTATTCAATGTCGAGCAGAGAAATTCAACCCTTTTTCATGGGAAATAGAAATCTCATCATTTAGCATTCAATACACATCGTCTGTTGGTGTGTAAATTTGTGTGTACACATATTTTTGAAGAGCTCCAGAGCATAAAAAGAAGTACGACAACTTGAAAGGGTGAATTTCCATCTGAAAGGCAAATATGAAAATTCTTCCTTTCTCTCTTTCAATATGTGTTTTTCCTCAACACGAACAGGTGCAAATAAAATCATGAATACAATTTCCCATAAGCTTCACAAACTCTCCAATCTCTAGTGAAGTGAAAACTTCTTCTGCTTCTGGTAACTTTCAATTAACCTCCCAGACCCGCATTGACAGTTGCAAGTTTTCCTTATAAACACACTTTCTCCTGCACTTTCCATGTCACACAATTTGACAAGATTTCCCAGGAAGACGGCAACATTTGGGTTACAATGTAAATTTGCATTAAACATATCGATTTCTGCCATGAGCAGGAAAACCCACCTCAATTCCTCCCGTGTCACTTCTTTTCCCGCACTCGCTTCCCATTTTCCTGCCCACCCTTCTGTGATGGCGTGTGTGTGTGTGTGTGTGTGCACACCTCACGCTGCCCAGAGTGCCAACTCTGCTGGTGGCCTAAATTGCTCATGAAATAATACTGTGAGAAACTCCGTGAATTCACCAATTTGCCAATGGAGGAACCATGAAATTAATGACGGAATTTGCTTGCGAGCGAAGACAAACTCAAGAAATCCTCGCTCTGCAGCCATTCCAGCGCACACAAGAACACAAAGCAGAGCATGAGAAAGAGACCATGTCATGGAGACTTGAAAGCGTTCTTATTCATCCTCCCCGCACCCGCAGCATCCTGACTCCAATAATCCGCCCCACGTTGAGCCCTTGACCCCATTTCCTGTGCGCTGTTCCCACTCAAAGAAACCAACCACACATTTCATACCATCAGACAAATTTTCGTGGTTCGCCCAGTGTCAATATTTGCCTGAGTGAAGAAAATACCTCGACGCAAAGAACACTCTTTTTTCTCCCTGTGTTCAGTTCAACCATCAATGATATCATCATTTGTGTGGCTCTGAGAGTATGAAAAAGTCCCCAGTTTTGGCCGAACACAGAACTTTTTTGCCAACCCTGATGGCCTTTTGTTCCTAACATCACGCCATTTTGGCAACAGAGATTTTTTCTCTCTATGGCTTTTGTGGTCACAAAGTTTCTTCTAGATCTCTCAGCATCTGTGAGTGTGTCTCTGTTGTGGCAAAAAGCAACGATAACAAAATGTACGTATTCATAACTTTTATCAGACGGAGAGTAAAACTTTTCAATTCAACCCACAAGCATTTTGTGCTGTCATAAGATATTTCACCATTGGAAATACCTAAAATTTCTATAGGCATCAAAAGAGGGAAAAGGTGAGCATTGTAATTAAAATTATAAATTAAGAGAGTGAGAAACTTTGATGTGATTTCAATGAAGGCAAACCTTTTTCCTCTTAATGAATTTTGCAAATTTATTAACAAAATTCCAGATTGTTTACCAAATTAAATATCTGCTCGGGACAAATGTTACGTGAAAAACACCACGAGGAAGTTAAGGCATAAAATGCAAAATGTAACACATATAGATTATAGATAAATAAAAGACTAAAGTCATAAATAACACTTTAAGGCTCTAAAAGGCAGTATTGAAGTGAAGAAGTTGAATTTATATGCACTAAATTCATGTTATATTAGAAATTATGAAATCAATGGGAAATTTACGAGTAACATTGCTTTGATTCAACAAGAAACATTTAGCTTTAGGGGTTTTAAAGAGAAATCATAGCAATTTATGTATGAATCCCTTAAAATAACATAAATTTGCGAGATAATTTCTCATCAAAACAATGTCACGTAAAAATAACTCATTACACAAATTGATCTAATAATCTATACAAATAACACACATTAAGCTCTGCACAGCTTTTCCTGCACATCCACTCGAAACAAGCCGCACTGCTGAACAATAAATCAAATCAAATCACAATTTCCATATCTCACACTCATTGGTGCGCAAAAAACACCCGCACAAAATGACTTTTTCCTCCCTATAATAATGCAATCCCAATTACAATCGAAGGGATCTTTCTACTCCACCTCTCATTTTTCCTCCCACTCTCTCTCTCTGTTCATATGTTCGCCATCAACGCAAACATGTTGGTAATGATTTAACTCTGGCTGTACAACAGCACTGTAAATGTTACCTAGTAACATGTTAAAAAGAGTGTATGTAATATAAACTAACGATTTTCCTTCCCCTAAATGCCACACAAGCGGCAAAATAGACATTCACGACGTTCTCTGTTCATTTTGCCATGGAATTTGTGACGATTTTTTTTTCTCGTGCTCAACAGAAAATTATTCACAAATTGCCTTAATTAATTATATCTTTAATTAGCGACAATATATAGTTTGTCTGTCGCCCTCCTTAAGATTTTTCGTACAATTTCCCTCCGTTTTACATTACTATTTACCCCGCCATATAACTTTTATTGTATGCCAAATAGAGAGCTTCGCGCCGCAGCATCGCACAAAACTCTGCAAATCCAATTAAGAAAGACTTCCGATTGCAGATAGAAAATACCCAGCAATTAATGCAAACACTATGTGTTCAGTCAAGCAAAAAGAGAGAAGTGAAATCCCTGCTTTTAGCACACTTTTCCTTTTCCTCACCACCAATTTTCAGGAGTTGTGAGTGAGTGATTATCAAAAAAGTTTTTAGACTTCTCATCTACAGAGCCCGAAATTTAACATGATTTTATTACAAAGCACATTTTTCACTGTTCCTTTAGCCAAACAGTTATGTTCAAAGTGAGTGAGAGAGAGACGAGGAAAACCCGAAGAGGCAATAGAAACTAATAAAAAGTTTGTACAAGCCATTTGTTGAAATTAACTTTTTAATAAGCACATGAATGACGGCAGAAAATCAATAGCCTCTCTTCCCATACTCGCGCGCGCTTGATTGACTGTTCAATGATATTATTTTCCCTGTAGTTAATTTTTATTATGTACTTTAAGCAGTTGATCGGAAACTCACCAGAAACTATCATCCATAAGATTTTCTATTGAGCACGCCGACGATATCCGGACGCCTTCATTGCTCAGGACAGCCGCCCGATCGATACCACGATCCTCCTCGTGCAGCATGTTGAGAAAGTCACCCACATTGTGAGACACGGGCCTGAGAGCGAACTGGCATCGCTCATTTCGACTTGGCAGTGGCACTGTGACATGAGGAAGCCCACGGATATACTTCACAGTTACGTCTGCAAGGAGAAAAAGAAAGGAGCAGACCAATATCATTAGCCATAATTCACTCCACTAACAAACTCTAGCCCACAATTAGATTCTCCAGACATACAGTCAAGTCACACCTCATTTCTCAGCATCTTTCTTCATCTCTCACACAACGGAAATTCATTAAAACTTCATGCAATTTCTCTTTAACTTTAAGTTCATCAAGAAATTTCACAGCTTCAACTGGCAGATACTCTCGCACAAACGGCGATCTTCAGTGATGCAAAAGGGCCAAATTAGAAGCTGAATAACTCAAACTTTCACTGTCAAGTTCACAGCTTTCACCCCGCAGAGCTTCAATCTACATTTAATCATTCCCTTTGTTCTCACTTTAGAACTCTCTCGCACCCCTCTTTTATCCAGCCTTTCCAATAAAGTTGACTCAGGCGCCTCAGTAAATATCTCTCTGTAATTTTATTACTTTTATTAATCCCCACGTTAACACTCACGACCCGGTTCATCGCTTGGTTCATCGTTTGTAATTTTGTCCACTTTATTGTGTCGCTTCGTGAAATCAATATAATCAGTCCCACACTTAATTGCTCAGAGGTAAATTCCCGACCCCTGAAAGGGAGGGATGATTTGGCTGAAGTCAGTACACCACATTCATATCGTGTCAGCAAACTAAATCCTTTACACTTGGGTAGAATAAGAAGAATTCGTTATCTTGCAATAATTAATTGAGAAAGAAGCTTTTATTAATTGCTTTCATTTGATTTGCATGAGAAACAAAATATGCTATGATAAGTAAGAAAGTTAACTTTTTCCTTATTCAAAAATTCACGTCATATTGCGTTATTTTTATCGACTTCCTTTAAGCTATACATCATTCCTGACCCAATATATTCCCCTTGTTCTCATTCTTGTCAGAAATGGTTGGAAAAATTCCCACATTACATTCCAGGAGAGAATTTCACCTCACATCCTCTCCATTAATTATACATTTTGCGAAATTGTATATACATTTCATCCCTTTTTGGAAGGGCTTTCCTAATTAGAAATTTCCACAAGATTTGCTCTGTTGAAAAGTCTTTTCTTGCGAGACAGAGAAATTTAGGCTAAAAGTGTCGTAGTGTCTTGGATCCTTTCCAAAATCAATGACCACACATCTCTTCATCCCATTATCTTGAATGCATCATAGTCTCTCGGTCATTCGCTCAAAATGCTTTGCAGACAGCAAAGGAGAAACATTGTCCATGCGAACTATGAGCACATAAAGTTACACCCGAAATATGTCGTAAATTTAAAGTGTTATTTAATGGACGTGTTCTGCAAGGCGATTTAATTTCGACTCTCTGCACTCTCGGCAAATATTTACTTATTATATCATGTGCAGCATTAGAAATGTCCGCGTGCATTGCAAGACGGTGGCACTCTTGCAAGTACAACTCTTGCCTTACAAATTAATTTATTAAAATTCCCCCGCCACAAAAGCATGAAAATGTGCAACTCCAAGTGTGGAAAAATGCAATCCTACAAACCTCTTAACCGATCTATTAATCAAACCATGCATCTCACTTATAATTTGCCCATTTTTTCTCCACCTCGCAAAGCAATACTTTTATATTTCTTTCACCATCCTCGCAATACACCAAGGCGCCACTCTTCTAGCATCTCTCACTGCAAATTATGCTCTTGTACCACGAACAAATTCCGTTATTGATTTCCCTCACGGCAATATTTTGCTCATTCATTTATAAATGAACCTATAATCAAATTGCACACACACAGAAAGTTCAAACATTGCAAATGTAAATTAACAAACAGAAAAAGTTGGTTTTATCCACCAAAAAGTTGAGTTTCACGTGCAAAATTTGCTCAATGCACGAAATGCATTTAGATTTTCAGTAAAAAAAACATATACACCAAATAAACAGTATTTTGGCTGCATGACATTTTTTCGCATTGTAATTCCATTATAATACATCGTTTTTGGTTTCAAACTTTATGAATGCACATCGCGTATTGTGTTGTCCAATTAACCAAAATAGGCTTAATAATGAACTGAAATTTGAAACTTCAGATCATCCATTGTGCAAAATTGCCCACTTTTTCATACAACTTTTTGCACTCTTCGTCATTAATTGGGTTTTGCAGCAAAACTAAATATTTATCGATAGGCTCGAAAGTTAGGAGAAAGTTATCTGGATATCCAAACTTTTCTGTTCTAAAAATAGCCCTTCAACAAAGAATCCTTTTGCTAATGGGAGGAAATTAATTGAACTGTGTGTTCTTGACAGCTTATTTCATCGACAGATCGGAAAATGAAAAGCATTCGCTTCACGTTCACCCCAACATTTGCTCCCGCATGTCGAAAAATTAATGGATTTTTGTACAAATAAAGATGATAAAAATTGGTGACACGTTTCAAATTAAATGTGTAAAATTGAAGAGTATCTAAAATTAATAGAACAATCGGAAATTTTGCATTTAATCTCCAAGAGCACTAGAATAGTGTGTACAAAAAACTCTCAGCTTCATTCTGCAAGTGAAAATCTCAGGGAAAACATTCTTCATGCCATTTTGCATACATAAATTTACTGGCAGTTTGTGTAAATCATCATAATTTCCCTCGTTGTGAGAGAAAGCGATTTTCACGCTGGAATTTTGCCCATTCATTCACCAATATATTGATTAATTAAGACATTATTGGTAATTCTTCAGCGCTTCACTCGTCACTTCTCTTGCGCACTGGCTCTCAATTCTCCAACGCATTCATGAATTTCAAAGAGTTGCACTCAAAGAAATTGTCACTGGACAAAGTGTAGAAACTTAACTCTTCAAGACAGAACTCAAGCGCGATGCCATTTTCACACTTTTCCGCCACGCGTCGTTTCTCTGAGTACACAATTTGCATTCACACTGCTTTGGCTACTGTTCATGAACTTCACGAGGAAGATCTCCTCAATGGTCTGGGCAGTGTTTGTGGCTCTGCTGCTCAATGGAAATTACAATTCACGCAGAGATGTTGCACACGGATTCAGTGCAGTGAACATAAAGCGCCGTACACAAACGGACTGTGCATTATAAATTGTTCAATAACAAAACTCTATTGATATGCACATCAGTCCAATTAGTTGAGTTAGGAATTACCACACGATCGTTTGAGTGATTTTGCCATTAGTAACTGCATCTTTTCTCCACCTTCGCAATTGCGAAGGTGCAATATAATATGATTGAAAAGCCAACGCCGTTGCACAGAGGAAGCAGATGGGCAATTGGAGGCGCGCAGGCAAACATACCTGAGTGCGATGAGCAGACAAAATATAATCATATCATAGGTGTAGCATTTTTAATTGCATATCACACCGTTCAGTGTGCCAAAAATGCTGCAGAGCAGAAAAATTACATTAAAACAATCTGCTCAATTCTTTATCATGGCGCCTCTTTCACTCCATCGCCATAGTCTTCTAATTAAGGCGAAAGATGCGCCTCTTTCACTCACATTTCACCCATCTCACACCATCTCTCTGGCGGTTGTTGTTCTGCCTCTTTTGCACACCCGCGGACCAATTTCGCGGCATCTTCGCTCCTTTTCACCACGGGCTGAAGCAGTAGCAGCAGAAGAAGAAGAGCAATGGTGTTGGAAAAAAGTACGATAACCACACGCAACACTTTGTTTTTTCGAGCTTGAATCTCCAACACACAACTTCCCTAAGCCAATATTCACTATATTGTGTGTCTCAAGCACTCTGCACGTACCAATCTTCATCTCGCCGCGTCTTCCTCATATTGGCACAAAAGTCTCTAAACCGCATCTTCCGAAGAGCTGTTCTGCCATTCGGAAAGGTGATGCATTGGGGAGAACCGCGAGGAATTTGTGATTTTAGTTGAGGTTCAAAATTCATCGACATCGCATCAAAGTGCATTTTAACCCAGAGTGTTTTTTTTTAATCACTTCCGCAGTGAATCAATTGACAATTTACATTGTATGCATTAAACACATCTTCAATGTGATACAAAGGGTGATTGAGTGAATTTTGTGTGCATGTTGTGATACATTTTAGGATTTAATACCAAATTTTGACACTCTCAATGCCAAAAAATCTTCCACGCGAAAGTCTCAACGGTTCTTCTTTCCTCTGCACGTGAAATCCAAAATAAAAAATCGCAGAGAGACTGAAGACTATATATATTATTCCGTGGAGCGTGCTTAATTGTAACATATTCACCAAATCTCAGATTGTACATCAGAGGCCACGATATCAGCAATAAACCAAAGAGAGGAGGAGGCAGAAAAAAAGACTGTGATCAGACGAGATACATTTTAAGTGCGCGCCCAGCGAAAGCATCATCTTTGCCCAAATAAATCTAGCCAGAGCCACAAAAATAAATTGAATTTCTGTGTGTCTTGTTGTGTGCCGTGTGATTACCATCATATTCAAGTGCGATAGCCATCAACTCGTGTCACTCCAGCCAGCAATATTGCGAGTCTCTTGACCAAAGTACACGACATACTCTTCAACATAGGTTCCGGACAGAGTAGCGGCCTGTGCCATGGGGGAACCCGCGCTGGATATCTCCAGGGATCACAGAATCGACGCAAGAAGAAGTGAGTGCAAAATCGAAGAGGTGCTCCTCAATATCATGCCGACAAATTACACATCGAAGATGACAGTGTGAAGGGAAGAAGGACGAATGCGGCGATAGTATGTCAAGATAGCATTAATCCACCCTGTCATATATATCTAATCAATGAGACACCATCATTTTTATCCTTCAGCCTCTCCATACACTCTTCTCTCCCATCACATAATCCCATTATTATGTCCTTAATGCGCCATGAGACTTCCATCTTCATCCCCTTTCCCCTGCTTTTACTGCTCCCCAGTTAACAGCCGTTCCCTTTCACTCCTGTGCCCATAAAAAGCATTCGATGTGACAGGATTTTGATGGCCAGAACACCAACAGCGCCCGGGCGTTGTGTGAAGGTGCAAAAACACCCCAAGATCGTGCGCCATAAAACTCC